AAGCGAGGGCTTGCTTGTAGAGTGCAAACACAAGGGATAGATTTCGGATGTAGCGGCGGTCACTTCAAAGTTGGCTTAGAGGCATGGAATTATGATACGGCCGAAATTCCGCGGAATTTGCACGTCGAGTCAGCAAGTACCGTGGCCACAGCGGATCGTAAATGATCATGTACAATCTTCTTTGATATACATTTCTTATGGCACTGACACTTTCTGGATCGTTTGCTAAGCACGATACGGCAATTGCAAGGTACCACTGCAGCTGTCGGACATGCGTGCAACGATGGGAATAATTGTTGATGGAGACACAAATGCCTTTCTTATGCCATTTCCTGTTACAAATCATGGAGAAGAGAGGCAACAACAGGAAGGGCCTTATGGCGGTGCGAGACCCATTTTCATGCTAAGCTTGTGCTGAACATCAAAAGCCAAGCTCAGCTTATCAGATTCTTGCACACAGTTAATGATGCCCCTGAGGACACGGGCCGTTGAGAAACGGTTTGTCCGACAGTTACGCACTGGGCGTAATGCCCAACTTGCCAAACAGCTTGCATTATAATGCAATTAAGCTGGGTTAACTGGGCATAAGGAATAAAGGACGACGCTGGCGCGGCCAGAGGATGACACTGCTGCCGCGGCCAGAGCTCCCTGATGCAATAATAGCAAGCACTGTCAATTCCGAAGCATGTCCTTACAAAAACGTGTTCCTCTATTAATTAATTCCCTGGCCCGGTAAAATGCATTTTATGGAAGGCGAGTGGGACACTATGGAAACAAAGTACCGTATGGAAGACGAGCAACGCTTTATGGAAGACAGACTGAGGATGGCACTCCTGACGTGCTGCTGCATTACAAGCAAGAAGTGTCAATATAGAAGTATGTACCTGTGAAAATAGACACCAAAAACAAGTGCAGTTCGGGCAATCCATATCCCGCCAGAAGTGCATTTTACGGATAGGGAACCCATTTCACGGATAGGGAACCCATTTCACGGATAGGAAACCCCATTTCACGGATAGGAAACCCCATAATATGGATCCTGAACCATTTATGGACGATGGCTTTTCCCAGAGTGTCAGTTGCGCCCAGTATGTTGCTCATCATAGATGTCACAATTTTAAAATATCAATACCTTAGTTATTTTCTTATGATATTCTAGTGCATACATGGGCTCCGGGCATGGTAGGTGCAGGCCGTTGGCCGTGCCACTCTTTTTCTCAAGGTGCAATTCGCTTTACGGTTTTCATGTGATTTTCACACAGCTTTATTATTGTGAAATTGATTACTGAGAAATTCTTTATATTTTTACAAAAAGAGATCAGCTCCGAGTGGATTTAGCTCGTTGATTCCTGCTGGTTCAGCGCACGTGCATCTGGGTTACAGTCCGTTCATGGGTCGCTGTTTGATTGAGATGTAGCATGTGATTCATCATGGATCGCGGACTGATTGCGAGTTGCAAGGTCCGTCATTGATCCAGCTGCCGGACAGCAGCTGGTGCGCTTCTATCGAGAGCTGTCCATCCTTTTGGGCGAATGAGCGCACATTCCCCAAACCATGACGATGACACACCATTCCATCCAGATCTGATCGGACGATCCTGAAGTCACGACTAGCAGGAACCAACGACTGGATGCTGCGGATGGCCGTAGCACATGCCATATGCCGTAGCCAACAAGCATCCTAAAAAGCTCCGAGTAAAAACCTCCGTGTGGAATCCAAGCCTGGCCTCGGATATTCCCACCCTAATTGATAGACCACGCACCAAGCAACCGTCGTGCACCTCCATGCGCCAAGACTCCAGGAAGATTCCTAGACTAGAAAATCTTCACGAAATTAGGAAGCACTACCCCAAAACTAAACCTCTACCATGGCGCCCCGCCCTTCCTACCTTAACGCAAATGCAGAGCAGAAAGCATCGGTCAACACGCGCTATCTGAAAGCTCCGCAAAAAGCGCTAAAAGGTAACTACTATCGTTAAGGTAAAGGTAAATTACGCTACGCAGTACCTACTGCAAATCCTTCGCCATTCGGGCGGCGCGCGTGCGGCCGCTGTGTGGCGGACGTGTAGCTGCAGCCGCAATCGATTGCATTGCTCCCCAAATGCCAGCCGGCCGACGCCATCACAACATTCCCCCAGACTTTCCGACAACGAAGCAGAGAGCTTAGCGTAGAACAGCTAAGCACCGCTGCAGTCCACGTCCCGCAAATTCACTAGAAGGTTGACGTCCTGCCGAAGTGTTGCAACGCATGGCAACACATATGTTTACTTGTGCAATGATTGACGAGTTTGTAGCCGCGTGCACGCATACATGCATGTAAGACATGATGTGGTTATGAATACGAGATCTTGTATTGTACGACTTCTTGAACTGCGTGGGGGAAAGAAAACGTGCAGCAGCACGTAAAGATGGTGGGGGCCCAAGGGCACATCCCTAATGGAAAATGGTGTGCCTCACTGTGGCACCAGCAGTGAACACCTGACATGTACGATCACAAACGTCGCAGTACGTATATGAAGCTCCAACTACGTGGGCGACCTACCCTACCTCCTAACCCTTACCCTACTACCCCACCTAATCCGGACCTTGTAGGTGGTGCCAGCGCGCTGAGCGCAGAGCGGAATGGTGTGCAGGTCGGCTCAGATAGAAACTATCCCGCGTTTTAGATATAACATATACGCTTAGTTCAAAGGCTCACATCCACACGCGTCGCCCACATAAACACCTACAAAAAAACAGATTCACACACAACACCTGAGTCTACAGAGAGCAGGTCAGGACAGAGCACACGCCACGTAGGACTGTCGTACCTGTCGTACAGTACACACACAAAAATAAGTGACATATACACGTGTGCTACGGCGCACATGAGCAACATTTCTTCGTGAGCGATATGAAGCAACCAGCTGCCAGCTGCTACTGGTGTTGTTAATAATACTAGTATAGTACCGCACAAGCAGAATAATGCCACCCGCGCGCCCCAAAGGGTTGTTTGTTACCAACCTTGCGCAGAGGCAGCAAAAGCACGAACCAAGGCCACAAGCAACAGGACAAGAAATTAGGGCGTAATCAACACCGCCGCCGCCGCCATCGGCAGCTCTGTTTGATGACGTGTGCGCCGCGTTCCAGTGGCGGAAAATACCGTCCTACATACTTTACCGTTCTACATACATATATACACGCACACATATATCATACATGCACAACCTCAGAGCGAGAGACTTAAATAAGCACGGGCACGCAGCCTCGAGGAAATCATTGAGGATACCGAACCCTTCACAAAACGATGTACGGCAAAAATGCACGATGCTGTACGACACGTCACGGAACGCGGGAAGAGGATCTATGGATAGTCCTGTATGTCGTACACTATCGTAAACCGAGTTGTCTTGATCAGCTAGGGAAATAAGTACGGCAGGTCATACACCTTTTTTAAACCGCGGCCGATATGCATTAGGTTTTAATTGGATTAGCAGGAACAAGAATTTACCGATTTACCGATGTAGAAATCTGCCCAGCAACGGTCGATAGGCACACCGATCTGATAGCTAACGAACATACAATAACAGTACGAGACTCCCGATTGCACGGTCACAGGTCGAATGTACGGATGTACGAGCGGGGTGGAGAAGCAGGGGGGCAGGGGGTTTTGTCTTCCTAAAACCCTACAGATGTTTACAGGTTTTATACAAACGTGCATACGCGCATGCATACTCGCATGCATGTATGTATGTCTGGCTGACTGGCGTTTCCAAAACCCCGGAACACAAAAACTGTTTCCCTCCGCCCTTCCCTTCCCCTCAGCTCGTTCCGGGACACACATAATACAAGCGAAAACGTACGGCAAAACGCACGACAACCCGACCTTCCATCCGCAAGAACGGAGACCAGCACGCACAGGGTTATCCTAAGACGCCCATATGGCTATCATCTCAATCAACAAGTAATACATGCACCATGAGAACCGTACCTAACCACCTCCTTGCAATTGGAGAGGATATAAAGGCCAAAAAGGACTTTATATGGCTAGATTGACAGATTGGAGGCAATGTAATGATGGCAACGTACTCGCACAACTCCTGGCAGTACAACTTGCACATCTTCACAGGTTCACAGACGGAAGCAACAGCAACTGATGTGAGAGCAGCGCAGCAGTCGCACCTGCCGCAGGCAAGTGCTGTGGATACCGGCGCCGAACTTAAGCCCCTGGCAAAGCCCCAAGGCCTACTGAGCACGATTAAGCAACGGCAGTAGCAGTAGATGCGAACGGCCACTGAAAGTACGGCACACAGTCATACATACATAATTACCATACATACACATAGACATACATACACACATACATACATACATACACACCTGCAGACATCACATGACGTGAGTGACGTGATATGACATACGACATCACGTTACGTTACATCACGTCACGCAGCCTGACGATGACGTGTCACCGAGACCCATAAGGAGAGCTGTGAACAGCTCTGGATCTGGAATTTGGAATTTAGGATTTTGAATTCGGGATCTGGAATCTAAAACTTGGTATATGACACTCAAGAGGTAGGGGAGCAAGAGAAGGACGAGGAGGAGGGTCCCCTGTGAGGCGAGCTGCTGCTGGGCACAAACTGCCCACTTAGGTCCGCACTACAATTCAGCTGTAGGTGTGGCATGTCGTACAGTACGGCACACAACACATAAATAAGCTACACAAACAAACCACAAAAGGTCCGGAAATGCCGCACCACAACCACGAACCGCCACCAGAAGAGCTTCTCGTGGCTAGGAGGGAGGTGGAGGGGGGAGGTTGACGAGGGAGGTGGAGGGGGGAGGTGGGGGGTGCGCGGGACTTGCGTCCAGCAGTGTGTCATGTCCATAATACCCAACATGCAGTCATGGCAAAATTCAAGAAGTTTTTTCGGTATCATACACAGTTCACACGTATGTATGTACGTATGTACATGTGTGGTGGTGTGTGTTGGCGATGGTGGTGGGATAGAGGGTTATTTACGAAACGGACGACATCCTCCTCAGCGGCGCCCACGGCACCGCCGGCCCCACGCCACCCTTTGCCGCCGCCGCCGCCGCCGCCGCCGTTGCGACGCCTCGCTGCTGCTGCTGTCTGGGAATGTTTCGTTGGCCGCCGGTAGCGGCCGTTGGCTCTGTACTACGATGCGCTGCTTCATAATCCGCCCGTTTACCGCCGCGGTCACCAACCCACAGGGAGCGCAAGCCGGCGGCGGGGCCGCCATGAGCAGGACTGTCGTACGGGCCGCAACTCAGCTGCTGCGGGCCCCGGCCTCCGCTGTCCCTCGTGGTGGCGTCCCTACTCCCCGACTGCAACCATCGTTCCACAGCAGCGACCCGCTCTTGTACGGGATTATTGCCGTATTCGCGGCCGCCGCCGGCAGCAGACCTGCGTTGCTCGGCCGCCGGCGCCGTCACTGATGCAGGTTGCCCAGCCGCAGCTGTCGTACAGCCGCCGCCATTGATAACGACCCCTGATGGATTGCTCTGCAGCTCCGCCAGCCATGCCCGGTGGGCCTTTTCCACCCGGCGCTGTTCCAGGTAGCCGTTGTGGCCGCCGCCGCGGTCGGCAGGCGTCGCCCAAGGACCCCCCGTAGTGGTTAGGTCACGAGGGCCCGGCGGCCGATGCGCAGATGCGGGCCGCGGTCGCGCAGCGCCGGCTGCCGTCACCGCCGTCGCCACCGTCACCGCCGCCGCTTGCTGCCGCATTTGCTTTTGCGCCACGCCAGAATCCGGCCTTTCCGAGGCCCAGGCTTTCCGTACATGGTTGCTGACGTGCAGCTGCCCCGAAGCCAAGGCAATCTCGGCGCCGCTGGCGGGTGCCTGTCGTGCCGCATACCTTTCGAGAAGGTCGCTGCGCGAAGGCCTGCCAGGGAGGTTTTTGGCGGCCTGCCGCTGCCGCCAGGCTGGCCCGGGGCTGCCGTACACCTCCGGAGGCTGTTGTTGATTTGGACGAGGAAAGCTCGCGCTGCTGACTTCTTTCGTCGCCATCATCCCAATTTGCGGTGAGGAATTCACGCGCAGAGTCTCACCGCTGCATATCGCGTCGTGAGCTGAGGCGCGCCGCCGCTGTGTGTGGCCAGCGGCGGCGGCGCCACCGCCGCCGCTGTACGGCGGGGCTTCAGGACGTAACATCGGCGCCGACGGCCGCGTCGACAGGTGCTGCAGCCAGCTGTCCGGGCAGGCCAGCCAAGCAGTCTGGCTGTCGCTGTCGCCGTCGTCTCCGCCGCCATCGCCGCCGCTGCCAGTCGGCGAAAAAAACGGCAGCCGTTGTTGCTGGCGGGTTTTCAGGGCCTTTGAGTTCCCCCCGCCCGGCGGCAGTGCAGCCGCCGTCGTCGAGTCGCCGCCACCGTCACCGTTGCGCAGCTGTACACCTCCGCCTCCGGCCCCCTGACGCCGTAGCCTGTTCAGGCGCGCCACCTCCGCCGCCGCCGCCGCCGTCCGTTGGCGGTTCTGGTCTTGGCTCTGGAGCGGGGACGCGACGCCGGAACCTGCCGTACTGCATGGCGACCCCAATGGGGGTGGTTGTCGGCTGGACTGAGCAGCTGATTTGCCGCGGCTGAGCTTGTTACTGTTGTTACTATTGCTGTTGCTGTTGCTATTGCTATTGCTGCTACGTCTGGCAGGTGAAGGGCTGACTGCGTTTTTGGAGCCGCCACAGCCCTGCGAGGAAGACGAGAGCTTTTCGGGCAACAAATCTGCCGCGCATGACGCCAACATCGACATTGGCTCCTCCAAGGATCCTCCTGTTCCGGCGGCAGCTCCCGCCACCCGCCCGTCGTCGTCAGCCGCCGCCGCCGCCGCCACCTCCAGCTGCACCGGAGTTTCAACACGCCGCAGCGCCTTCACTGCCGTGCAGGCTGATCCGCCAAGCGGCACCGACGCTGACGCCGATGCAGCTGATGTCGAGTCTGTGCGCCGTGGCGGCCGCGGCGGCGCAGAGGAGGACAAGGAGGATGCGGACCTTACGGCGGTACGGCGGTTGTCACCATCAATAGAGGAAACGTCCCGGCGCCGGCCGGCCCCGGCGGAGGCGGCAGTGACGTCGCCCTTGCCAATGTTTAATGCTGCCGTACCGCCTGATGCTGCATCATCTGCGTTGACATCCGACGGTGGTGCCGCGTCCTCGCCGGCTGAACCCGTCGTCGCAACCCCATCCTCTGCCTCTACCGCCGTCACCGTCGCCGTCGGCAGCGGCGGCGGCGGCGACTGTTCCTCGTTTTTCATGTCCGCTTCTATCACCGCCATAACAGCCAGTACCGCCGCATGCACCAATGCCACGTCATCGTCGGGCAACGCATCGCCGTTGTCGTACGACGGCGACACAACGCACTTAACTTCCACCACGCCAGGTCCGGATGGCAGGCCGCGCAACGAGCTCACAATAGGAATTTCGAACACGGTCGTGCGCCGCTTCGCGCCGTCGGCCGCCGGCGCGCCGCCAGCCGCGGCCGTAGCGTTTGCGAGCAGCTCTGCGTCAGAGGCCGCTGGCGACGGCGACGGCGTCTGCTTGCCGCAGGCGTCAGGACCAGTCGTACCCGTAGATTCTGATTCCGTATCACCCCTGGCGTTGCCGTCGGCATCGGATCCCTTAACACTGCTGCCCTGCTCCGAACCCGCTGTAGGATCCGGATCCTCGGCCGCCACTTCCGCCGTTTCATCTTCTGTTTCAGCTACGAGACCAACTTCCGGCGGCAAATCCGGAACCTCTGCGGGTTGCAGGACCATTTTAAAATTAGAAATAAAAATCAGTAACAAAAAATATTTTCATAACTGTTACATTATCTGATTTGGGCAATTAAGTTTTCCCTTCACTCGCAGTTTAACTTTCTCGCCTCACGTCCCACGAACACCCTCTCCCATGCTGCACTCCATAAGCCGCATTCCGCTCACCTTGGGCAGCAATCTCCTGCGCAATTTCCTCAAGAGTCTTTAACAAGTCACGTTTTGATGGACCGGACGGGACAACCGCGAACTCTGCCGCTTCTGCCACCGCTGCTGCCGGCGTCACTCCAGTAGTTTCCATCGGCGGTGCGGGAACCAGCTCCGGAACCACAAAGCTGCCGCCTCCCAGGAATGGCTCCAGCAACAGATTATCGGACTCCGGCACGTAGTTGGCGAACGGATCTGAGTCAGCATCGGAGTCGGTGATTGACATGTTGCCCCACGACACATGTCTTGACCAAACTCGTGAGCGACCTGCGAGAAGAGGAACCCCTTGATGAGAGATAAGCTTGAGGAAAGGAGAGGAGAAGAGAGGAGAGGGGAGGGGACTTATGGACATAGAGACCTTGAAAGACGAGCGGGCGAAAACGAGCACTGGCTATACGGGAAAAATCCAAGATTTCAACTCTTGAGTAAAGACGCGCGTATGGAGGAGAGAAGGGAGGGAGGGAGGAAAGGAGGAAGAGGCAGGCAGGCGGCAGGCAAGACGGAGGGAGAGGGCGTATGAGGCAAACCGTAGAAGGGCGCACACAGGCCGAGAAAATTGCGGCTCCATGGGTTGCGAGATGTCTATCGCAAGATCTCCTTAGATCTTTACAAGTTTGCATACATTATTGCTGACGAGAGAATTTGAACCGGGAACTCCGCCATGCGATGATGACGAATGCTAGTCCGGATTTGACTTTGACTAGTAAGGAAAACAGAAATCGCCTTATCATATTGACAGCTTCGGCGGTTTCTCATCCATTGGGGGGGGTCCGGGTAGCGTCCCCCGGCCATAGACGGCCAATCAGATGTGTAAAAAATAAACATTCATACACACATACAGACACACAGACGGCCCCCCGAGTCCCCATCAGCTTTGCTCCGCACCTGATCTGTTGGCTGGGGCTGGATTAGTATAGTAGGAAGCCGTCGGCAGCTGCGGTTGTGATGGTACCCGGGTAGCAACAAAGGCGCCGCCCGAAGTTAGCAATGGAGTCGGCTGGTGGCTGATGACCGCTGCTCCTACGGCTGTAGCAGCAGGAAGGCCCCCCGCCATGAGCACGCGCGCCATGTCATGTGAGTAGCCATGGCTTAAATTGCCGAGTCCGTAGGGAAGATTGTCACCCTGCAACAGGTCGTGTTGCTTGTAATCGCTATGGTGAACGATGCCCAGCTGGCTGCGGGAGCCGTCCAGCCACCGGTTTGGCATTACATGGAATGCGAACGGGTCGTTGTCAACTTCGCTGGCTGCTGAATGAGACAGTGAAATTGCGGTCGCCCTTGCTTCAGGCCCTGGGCCCGAGCCGGGAGGCATGTTATCTTTGGACGTCAAAGCTGCCGAAGTACCGAGTTGTTGCTTAGAGGCAGGGTGTTCAGGGCTGTGCTGCGACAAAGACGTTATTTCACTGGTAGACGTGCGCATGTAGTCGCGAGCTATCCGCCGATGCAGAGGCAGAGTACTCAGTTTGTGTTACGGTACACAAGGACATCCAAGCAATAAAATACAATGCTAAAGAGGCGGCGGCCTGCTGAAAGCCCCATCGAAGCCGACGAACCCCGCACTGTCCTCCTCGTGTAAGGCTTATAGGAATGAAACAAGCAGCTACAATGTTATTAAATAGACGACTACGAAGCACACGCACAGGAATGTGTTAAATTGCCAGTAACCGGAGGCAGCTTCCACAATAACGCACAGAAATGCCTCAGTTAAGTCGAAAATAGATCTTGAAGCCAGCATGTATTTTTGATTGAAATAGTAATAGCTGTAGCGTGGCCATTTAAGCACCTAGCTAGACAGTACAACTGACGTAGAGCATATGCTGTTGTGCAACCTCCCGGCTTGGCATTTCTGTTCAAAATCGAGCTTAAAAATTAGATCACACATAAATTCATAAGACCTGAAATTACAAGGCAAAATTTCCTTACTTGTCGGGTGTTTACCCCGCCCCCGGATGAACCGTCCTTGACTCGATGCTCGCTCTATGTTATTCTGGCATCATCAGTTCTAAATCGATTATAATCTGGACATACAGCGTCTCGAGAGTAACAAACTCCTGGTGCTATCGCGGATCGAGGCGGTTTCGACTACGGCCAACTCCTGGGTGGGGATAAACTCACGAATTCATAATCGCGGCACACATAGTATGATGCACATGGCATATGGAGAGGCACGCAAGACAAGAAAAGTAATTAAAATTTATGGACGAACCCATGAGACTCTTCGATTCGTCCACAAAGCCCGGCCACAAACTCGCGCGATTCAATGTTAAGGCGTGCATATGGGCTTTAATTCTATAAGAATATTGACGTTTCGCCTGAATTCCCACTTTTATCAAACGCGGTGCATATGCAAGCGTGGGACTCCATCACCCGCGGATGTCCGGCCGGACATCCGCCGCGTTGCGGCCTTGCTCACAGCTGTGAGCAGACATCGCATAGCGTTTCCGCGCCATGGCAGCAACGCCTCATTCCACAGCTTATCGTCCCGCAAAGAGGCCGATCGACAACATGCCGCATTCCCCCAACCCTGACTGCTACACTCCTTGTCGCACCGTGCGCCCACGGTTGCACCGGCTATGTCCATACGGATTCCACCAGCCCGCAACAGGTCAGGTAACCGCCACTGAAGGACCATTCTACAAAATTTAAACTTGTTGAGTCTGCAAATTAAGCCGGCATCGTATCCTTGCAGATACAAGGTAAGAGGTTTGTATCCCACGCAGCTGCGTCGGCGGGCGTCAGTCCGTTACGGTCCGGTACGGTATAGGAAACTTGCCGCGTTGAGTGTTCAGCTTGATACATGCGCAATGACTGCCATCAGTTTATATGCTAAGACTTTCTAAATGCCAAGGCGGCCCTTGGAAGGATGGATGCATCCAAGCTTTATGAGATTGTACGGTCCCAAAAGGACCCGAAAGCATATGAACTACGTTATCCTGTCAAACGAACGAGGAAACCAGAAATAAGAAACAAAATTGTCAAACTTTGCCTGGGAAAGATTAAGGCTTTACCAGGGACTGAAATCGTTATTAGGAGTGCAAAAGTTGCCCAACTGGTGCCCAAGATGGGACCCAACCTTGCAAGGTGCTAACGCGACCTATCCTCTACATCCGAAAGAGACACCGCGAGTTTACCCAAGACAAACAGATTTACCACATATGAAGGTCATTATCCGCTCCAAAATGTATTTCGTGGTATATCGACTTCTACGGCGGATATGCCCTCAATGCCGCTCTCAATCCAGGCCGCGCTCATCATCATCAGCATTGCATGGCCACATCCCGCGTATTTGCTCTAACGCGGATGCCTAAATTCCAAAGCCGTTGCCGTACGCCAGCCAGCTGTCAAGGTGCAAGCTTCGACTTCTCTAAGCGAAGTACGAGTGTAGACATACATACGCGAGATACTGCGAAGGACCATCAGGGCGCATGCATGCATGCATGTGCAGGACCACAGTACGGCAGGGGTCGCCAAGCTTCTACCGGGGTCGTGCGGGTGCAATGGTTTTCTAACCCCCATTGTTTTGATTATTACCAAGTTAAGGTGAGGTGTGTCCCACTGTTGGGACAGTGTCCTCCAGTTTCCCCCCACCCACCCACCCACGGGTCAGAATCTTACTGTCCTATATTAATTGGTCTAATCTTGGAGTCTATGTTGCTTTTCTCGTCAATCGTCTGTGCCTCGTCGCACCCCCACCCACCCAGGGCAATCCCGGGGGTTGCCACAATGCAGCGGTCCCTGTTTTTGTCGCTGCTGGCCTCGGGCGGGTCGCATATGTGGCTCTTCGGCCCTTGTCGGGGCGCTTGAGGTTGTAGGATTCGTTAACTCAGATATTAATGCTTTTACCGAGCATTTTTCCAAGGTGCTTAATGGTACGGGAGAGACGAGGCAATGCCGCAATGAGGGTATTCAGTTTAAATGGCTGGACGAGGACCAGGTGACGCACCGACGGGAATTAGCTGCTTGGCTTAACAAGGATTTTACGGAGGATGAAATTGCTAGTGGCCTTAAGGCTATGCGCAACAATAAGTCCGCGGGCCTGGAGGGAACCCCGGCCGAGTATTATAAGTACGCTACCAGGGAAACTGAAGGGCAGCAGCCCGTGTTGTATTGGCGCCTTACTTAACGGTGCTATTCAACCGCATATACGGAGCTGAATACCCGAGGGAATTCACGACTAGCACCCTGTCCCCCGTATTCAAAAAAGGGGACGTGTCATGCTGTGACAATTACCGGGGAATCGCAGTTAGGGGTCCCCTGTGCAAACTTTACGCCAATATCATAGGGAGGCGATTAAATAATTACTGTGAGGGCAATAGGCTACGTGCTGCTAGCCAGGCTGGATGTAGGCATGGTTTTGGCACCGAGCATAACTTGTTTACATTAAGGCATCTTATCTCGAAGCACACTGTGGCCGGAGCCAGGCCGCTTATTATCATGCAAATTGACTTTAGTAAGGCGTTCGGCTCCGTTGACCATGAGACACTTTGGGATTTCCTAATGTCGTACGGGCTACACGGGCGCATCCTCGATTCTTTAAAGGCTAGCTATGCTGACGTGAAGTTTCGGGTCAAGTTAGGAAATAAGTTGGGACCTGAATTCACGGTGGGGCGTGGTGTTAAGCAAGGGTGCCCCCTTAGCGTAACCCTTTTTGGACTCTTCATAGAAGTATTCGCTCATTATATTGATGCTCATGATGCTAATTGCCGTGTATGCCTCCCTAGCCGTTCGTTGACGATGTGTCACTGGTAGCGACAGGGCACGATAGAGCAGAATGCCTTCTGGGGCTACTCGAAGCCTACTGCAAAGCGACGGGTATGGCCGCGAATGCCGCCAAGTGCGAGGTCCTCATTTTTGGGGGTGCTACGCGTGAGCGGAAGCGGCTTATGGAAGCTGAGTACCGGTTAGGTGGGGCGGGGTTGCGAGTGCTGACCGGCAACGAGACGGCACGGTATCTCGGGTTGCACTATGGCCCAGGAGTGCAGTTCTCAGCATGTACCAAGCAACTACTCACAGCAGGGAGGCGGGCCACGTTTGGGCTTAGCACCCTGTGTCGAGATAAGAAAATTACCACCCCCAAGCTATGTATGTCTCTCTACAAATACACTGGTAGTACCGGTGTTTTCCTATGGAGCGCTATGGGGACCTGACTTCATAAATGTGAATTTTGAAGGTGCTATGACTAATCCCATGGTCCAGGAACAGCGTGCATACATGCGAACCGTAGTTGGGGCGAGGAGCCCGACTATGGTTTCCCTATATCGCGAGCTGTCACAGAGGCCACTCCAGTTCCATTGGACCAATCTTGTACTTAGGTTTTGGAACTCTGTGGTTAAGAGGCCGGGAACCCTGTGTCACCGGGCATTTGTCGCTGACCTGGAGTTGGCACTTGGGGGCGTCACTGAGTGTTGGGCAAGCAAGGTACTAGCCTTTCTTACTAGCTTAGGAGCGGAACCCTCCACTAATACGCGCGGTAATGATCTTATAGCGTACTACGCCACTTTTAAATTGCCAGTTGAGAGCATTCTTAAGGTATTTGCCAAGCGGCTTGATGCACGGTGGGAGTGCCCGAATACCTTGGGTGACCCCCGCGTCTTCCCCATAGGAATTACCGGAGCCAAGGCGTGTCGCTATATGAACTGGATGTGAGCTGCCCCGTCTAGGGGTGCGCGTCTCGATTGGTTGGAGCACACTAAAGGGACCATGCCCCAGCGACTTCATCATGTGCTCATGCGTTTTCGATTAGGCTGCTGGGAGTTAGAGGTTAATAGACCTAATGGGCGTGAGCGCACCGCGCGTACCTGCAGGCTTTGTGACTGTGGAGCGGTTGAAGATGAGTTGCATGTTTTCGAAGAATGTCCCGCTTACATGGGCATACGGGCTAATTATGATGGTGACCTAGTCCTTACGGGGCGCAGCATGCGCACCATTATGACTGAGGCGCCACCCCTGGCATTGGCCAGGTACCTCTCGGAAATTTGGGAGGCCAGGCACGTCGCGCTGAGGCGCTTCGCCCTGAGGCGGACGAGGGAGAATGAAGATGACCTCCCGCGTACCCGCATCAATACCAATACAACGTCCATGGCCCCCCCCGCTTTTACGGACACACCCGCACTTGTGTGCGGAACTTGTAACTTGTAACTTGTTAACGGTGCAACACAGGTAACTGTCATTACTATGGGCCAGTAATGCAACTTTCACAATTGGTTGGTGTGGGAGGGGGTTTCGCAAGCGGTTTGTTACTACTCAGCCAAACTATCGGCTGGTGACTTAGCTACTGCAACGCAACAAGTTTACAAGTACACAAGTCTACAAGTTCCGCACAAGCATTTGTGCGGGGATGTCCGTAAAGGCCGGGGGGCCCATGGACGGTAAATCGTTTTTGGCGCGGTTACGCGGTGGACCATCACCGTCCTCCCTCGTCCGCTTGAGCACGAAGCGCCTTAGAGCAACGTGCCGGGTCTCCCAGGCTTCCGCTAGTGCCAGGGGTGGGGCGTCGGTCATAATCGTGCGAATGTCCACAAAAACATGCATTTCGTCTTCAACCGCCCCGCAGTCACAAAGCCTGCAGGTGCACGCTGTGCGCTCACAGCCATTACTTCAGTTAATCTCTAACTCCCAACAGCCTAACCGGAAACGCATAAGCACTTGATGCAAACGTTGGGGCATGGCGGTTTCAGCGTGGGCCAGCCAAAACGGCAGGACTGAGCAATAAGCACGAGAAGGACTCGGCCGACACATGGGGACGCCCCAGAGCCCAGATGCTACCGCTGATGTCCTTGTTCCTTCACGCGTAGTTTGTTACGCACACCTAATTAGAACCTCTTCCGCATGAGAGGCTGGATTCTGAAATCACAGCGCGACATGACCCAGATGGAAATCTTCCTCCCGAGCTGTTTGAGAATAACGCTACTTCCTAAGGCATAACAAATATACCGTGTCAAATCTGTAGATACTAAGGTGTAGGTTGCTGGATGAATAAGGTGTAATTGCATGTTGTACTTTGCTGCGCTCTTTGGGGGTTGCATGCTGCCGCCCCTTTACCGGGTAGATGAATTGATACATGGGCCGTAACGTTTCGCACTCCAAACCATGTCTCTGTGATGATCTTATTAATATAGGTAGTTAGGCCTGGCAGAAACATGATCATTGCGTTTTTACTTTTACAAAAAATTCATTTACAGTATAATTCGTGAAGCTTAGCTTAGTTTTTCTAGGGGGCATTTATTGTTATAGCACGCTGAAAACGGCGAATCCTATATTCTTTCCCAAAGTTCTTTCCCAGGATTGGCCTCTGGCGTTTTCCAAAGAGATCAAAGGCTGAAGAGAGGCCCTACGCAAATGGGGGTTCCTTTGGTGGCTGTTGCTTTCAAACTTCTCATTGTGACATCGTTCTCCTGTGCGCGTGGTCAGCAAGAGCGTCACCATGGACACGTAGATAATCAGCCTGTCCCATTCGCATTCTGTAAACCCTATCTTGAGCGCCTTTCAAGCAACGACCAGCATCAGCTTCGGGAATCCTACCAACAGTATCATGCGGCGTATGCACGCTTCGTGCGTGCCAACCGCAACAAGGAGGCTTTTGTCCAGGGATTCCCAGACTGGATGAACAACGAGGACCAGCGTCGGGCCTGGAACTTGACGTACATCGTCGTAAGTCTACGCTATCTCTGTAAAGATGCACGTGCATGTTTCTCCGGCCGGCCAGCACAAGGGACAGGACGTGCAACACGGGTCCGCGCTCTGGGGATACGAGCGCTCCTTTGCCCTCCACGCCACCGCGTTGCCACACCGTGCTGGCACGCGCGTAGCTTCCAGTTGCCTTGCACGCTAAAGGGCTCTTCCTCCCACACCTTTGGGGAGATCCCATTCTCCTCTGCCCCATTGTTTTATGACTTCCCCCCGCTTTTCCCGCCAAAATTCTCAATTTCAAATAGACCACTTCTGCACCGCTTCCATCTGGGTCATATCCTTCCTTGTCTGGGTCATCCGGCAGTACCCCCCTCCCCTCACAAGCCCCGCCTTTCCTGCGTCCGCTCGCAGTTGGACGCCTAGTTTGGACACGTGAACTTGTGTCTCCTAGCCTGTTGCCCTGGATCCCCCTGCCGTTCCCCATCCTCCTGGACTTTGGCAGCTGCGACCTTTTGCTTTGTGACAATGCTTCCCTCCCGCCCTAGGGCTGTCTTTCGCCCTAGGTTCGATCGTGTATGGATACAGGGACAGTGACGAACCTGAGGGGATCACACCGTGCAAACCTTCTCCCCCCTCCCTCTCTCTATGCTTCATTCGCCAGTGGTTCGCCTTAACCCCTTACCAAAAATCTAGAGAAGTATTTAGAGCTGAATCTAGTCATTGGGGAAAATCAGATTCACATAATTAATGACTTTTTTTGACAGGCTATGAGGGCCATAACAAAAACTGCTAACGCTTTCTCTGTCTCTTTTTCTCTCTCTGTCTTTGTCTCGTATCTTTCACCCAAGATTGTCTGCCTCGCAGATCTGCAACCTATGTTTGTATTGGTTCGATTCCCTTTCCGCCTCTCCCCGTCCCCGTCCTCGTCCCCTTCCTTTGGTTTGTTTTCCTTTTCTCCTTTTTACACGCACACACACATGCTCTTTCTCTCGACCCACGGGGAATTGTTCCCTTTTGACTTTGCTGGCCCCCCTATATATTCCGGGCCCCACCCCGCCTCGCTGTTGCTGCTGGTACTGCTGCTGCTGGTGGCGGTGGTGGTGATGCTGCTCGTGGTGGTGGCGGTCCTGCAGGGTAATGACCTCCAGAACCTGACGGCGACACTCGAGGATGCCCGGGGTGTCCTCAACACCATGGAGAAAAGAATTCAGGTGGGGACCGAAATGTCTGTCTGTATGTCTGTTCGTCTGTCGGTCTGTTCGTATGTCCGTTTTATTTTTGTGCGGTTATGGAGAGGGATCCGATCTGTTACTTGTGTCTATCTGTGGGAGGCCGACCGGCCTGATTGTACACCCCACACGTGTGCCTGTATGTTTGTCCTGTGTATGCATGTTCCAAGTTTGTGTATTTGGTCGTTGCTGGCGATACGGCTTGTCATGCTGCTGGCAATACGGCTTCGTGAGGCAATGCATCCCTCCGTCCCTCCCTTTCGACGACTGGAAACCTTTTTGGCCATTCCGTGGTTATCATTCCGTCTCCTACCCCTTCCCTCCCCTTCGGACACATACATACATATGTACAGGCCCAGCTGCAGCAGCTGGAGGGTGCTGGCAGCTTGCCCGCCAAAACGCAAATAGATGACCTGTCGCCGTGCATCATGAAAAAGGTGAGCGAAGGGGGAGGGTGGGTGGTAGGGTCCGGAGAGGGGGTCGGCCGTGTGGGTGCCCCCCTTTCCATCAGCCCGCTTCCCTTCGCCACCAGTGGGCCTCTGCCCACTCAGACCCCCCTCTTGCGTGCTGTGACCCACGGGTCGCTGCAGCTCCTTTCGGATGCTTACCTAAAACCCTAAAACATCATCACCCATCACCCCACCCGAGAACCGACACTACCCCTCTGCACCAGTCCTTGCCACCAGTCCTTGCCACCAGTCTTCACCACCAGTCTTCACCACGATCCCCTCCCGCCTCTCCTCCCGGTTTCCCCCTCTGGGCCCCCTCTCCCCCACACACGCGTACATACATACAGATTTACCCCTCCCAGTTCCCTGACCAGCCGGCTGTGTCGCTGCTGCTGAGGCTGCGGGGGGATGTGGCCAACCCGGCGGATTGGCCCCCCCCCAGCACGGAGGGTACTCCGGAACCACCAACGGGGAAAGGACCCGAGGTGAGGGTTAGAAGACTGTGGCGTATCGTGTGGCAATGTACCGTGATGTACGGCGCGGTTTTGTACGGTAATATGTCGCAGTACATGAAGGAATGCATACGGAAAAGCTACCGAGTATGGTGGTGCTGGAAATATATACTGGATCAACTGCCTTGGGGTAGAGAAGCATCTCGCGCGAGGGGGTGGGAAATGGGGGCTTTGGTGTCGCGCTGCTGTCCCCCGCTGCCTTTACTTTGTTCCACAGTCGTCCTCCGAAACCCACCTTTTTACACCCGCGAACGAATAACCTCCCTGCGCCGCTTCCCTTCTTCTCTCGGAGTGTACGACTGTTGTATTAATTATGACTGCTATACTGTAAAAGGAACTATGACTGTGTGCCCTGTTGGATCTGTTGGATCTGTTACTTGACTTCGCTGCTATGTGGTATGGGGTTTCGTCATGTATGTATGTATGTATGTATGTATGTATGTGTGTTTCTCAGGTTGTGGCAGCCTTCATCTCCAGGGCTCAGCAGTGCGCCTCGGTGGCGCCCCTGGAGCTGGTGGTGATGCTCAGCGGCCCCTCAGTCCCCCTGCAGGCGACCACGTGGGCCTGGCAGTCCTGGCAGTCGGATGGTGGGGCGGGGGTGCGTGTGTGTGTGTGTGTGTCTGGGAGGGCGGGCGGCTGGGGGAATGGCCGGGTGGAAGGTCCGCGTCGGCGTTAGGGTGTGTATGTGTATGGGGTGGGGGGGAAGAAGGGTAACTGCATGGGAGTTGTGCGGTGGGCGCATTGGCGGCCACAATGTGCGAGCAACCCATAATGAAGGGTTAATTCAGTTGCGGGCAGAAGTCGAATCAGCTGTGCGGCACGGTGTGGTACTACTTGGTTATTGGGGCCGAGCTTGAGAAAGGAGTCCCCCCCGCAACGACAACTCTTGACCCCTCAGAGCGCATCAGGGCAGTTGTTGCATCTTCATGGCTCTGGACTGCTTTCCAGCAGTTGTCGGTCCGTGCTCTGGGGCACACGGCACTTGCTGACGCCATGGCGCCTCCAAGGCCGCATCAGTGCATGCCATGATTCACCACCACCGGTCCATCCGCGCACACGATACATACACAGAGTGTCTGTCACTCACTCACTCACTCACACACACACACTCTCACTCTCTCTCTCTCACACACACACACAAACATACTCTCACTCTCTCTCTCCCACACACACACAGTCTCTCTCTCTCTCTCTCACTCACTCACTCACTCACACACATACATACATACATACACATACACATGCGTGCGTGCGTGCGACCGCATCAGGTTTCGTGGTGCCTATTTTGGACACGCTGGATCGTGAGGCTCACGCGCTCAACCGACTCGTGTCAGTGGCCCGTGGGTCAGTGCTGGTGGCACTGAGAGGCGACCGGTCCAACGTGGATGACCTGCTGACGGGCTTCTTGGATTGCAGCTGGCTGCAGCGCATTGTGACGCTGTACCACCGCATTCCGGCGGTGAGGAGGAGGAGGAGGAGGAGGAGGGGTGGGGACTTGGCGACCTCGGCTGGCTGAGGTGGGGGGATGTACTACCCAAATTTATGTACTACCCAAACTTTTGATCGCCTATAGTCCCCAACCTGGTGTCGTAATAGATAGGGACCGTCCCTACCTGTGTTACTACACGAGGGTGGCGACTAAAGATGATCAAAACTTTTACAGATAAAAATAAAATACCGATAAATTGTAATGAAAGCCTTAAGAATTGAGGGGCAATTCGGCATATAGGTGTTTTAGCAGCATTAGTCCACGATGCGATGTGATTCAGTCACACCCGAAGCCCTATTATCATAATAGGCAGGTAGGTAAGTAGTGTAGAGGGTGCCACGCGGGGGGGTCTGAGAGTGGAGTGAGTGAGAGACCAGGAGAGTGGAATTGACGCCGCAGTAGATCCGGTAGATCGGGGGGGACGCCAGATTCCACACAGGATGCTACTGCTGGTGCTACTGCTGGTGTTGGTGTTGGTGCTACTGCTGGTGTTGGTGTTGGTGCTACTGCTGGTGTTGGTGTTGGTGCTACTGCTGGTGTTGGTGTTGGTGCTACTGCTGGTGTTGGTGTTGGTGTTGGGTGCTGATTTATCGCACCCGAAACAGTCGCTGATCGCGGACTTGGCCGAAGTCGCGGCACGCCCTGGTGTTTAGCAGGGGGATGTGAGTGTGCGGCCCCGAGACACCGCATCGGGGAGGGTAGTAGGGACCCCCCCGGGCTTGTGGCCAAGGGTGAAAAGCTTTGCATACCCCTTACTTCACGCAAATCATACGGTGGCAACATGACATGACGCATGACATGACGCATGACATGACAGGGTCTGGGTCTGGGTGAGGAGGAAGTTGAGGAGGGTTCCCTCCCCCCTTTTCCAGCAGCTTTACTCGTTCGTGGTTCGCCTTTCCTCCCTTTCCCCCCTCCCCCCGTTCCCCCTCCCAACGAACCCTAGTTGGGCGCCATGACTCACGGGCGCTTCGCCTTCGCGTACCCGTCGGGCCGGCCTCGACTGCTGGGTCCCAGTCCCGAGGGGGAGGGGCCGTTCAAGAACAACATGTTCTTCCGCGAGGCAATGACGTCGATTCCCTTCCAGTATGCCATGTACGGCGACTACATGCCCATGTCGTTCAGGTAACTCATCATCTCCATCATCTCATCAGCGAGGCCTCCTAGGCACGCGGCTAACAGGAAACAGGGGTAAACGGCTGGACGAGGTTTCGGGCCGCCAGGGGGGTCGGGGGAAAGGAAAGAAAAGGCAACGCGCGTGGGGGGCCGCTTTCCGCCAGCCGGGTTCCTTTCCTCCTGTTTTGTTCGTGTCATCTCTCTGCCCTGTCTTTTTATGTGCTTAAGTGCTCGGCAAAAGGAGCTAACAGATTGTACATCTGGAGCTGTTTTGTTTTGCATCAGTTCAGCCAGCTGCAAGGTAGCTGTGGAGCCATTTCTGCTCCTTCTCCTCTTTTTATCTTCTCCTCCTTTTTCTCTTCTCCCCCTTTCCATTTTCCCTTCCTTCCCCTCACCTCCCCTGCTACTGCTACTGCTGCTGCCACACCTGTTGCTGCTATTGTTGTTGTTGCTGCTGTTGCCTGAACACTGGCTAGGCGGAGCGCACTGGATGAGGTGGGCGGCTTTGACGAGGACCTTCCCCAGGTGTGTGTGTGTGGGGGGGGGGGAGTGCGGACGTGGGGGGTGGATGGAAACGAAGCTCAAAAAAGCGTAGTGGGTGCGTATCCAGTCGGTTAGTTCGTGTTTGCAAATCGGAGAGAGAGAGAGAGAGAGAGAGAGAGAGAGAGAGAAGAGACACACACGCACCCCGGGAGACACAGACACAGTTGGCCGCGTCACTCCTTCGTTAACCCCTTCGGCCTCGCGACCGCCTACACCCCGGGACCCCCTCCCACCCTTTTCCGCCCCTCCAGGGCTCGGAGCCCTGCAGCAGCTACCTCCGCTTGGACTTGTGTCTGCGGTTATGGAAGTCCGGGTGGCGGGTGGGGGCGCACGACGCGGGTCTGCTGCAGGAGCCGATGCCCGAGGTGGGCCCCGCCCTCAACAGCGACACCACCAGGTGCGCGTCTGTCGCGATAGGGTGGGGGTGGTGATGATGATGGTGGGGGTGGGGGTGGGGGTGGTGATGGTGGGGGTGGGGGTGGGGGTGGTGATGATGATGGTGGGGGTGGTGATGATGATGGTGGGGGTGGGGGTGGGGGTGGTGATGGTGGGGGTGGGGGTGGTGATGGTGGGGGTGGGGGTGGTGATGGTGGGGGTGGGGGTGGTGATGGTGGGGGTGGGGGTGGTGATGGTGGGGGTGGTGGTTATGGTGGTGGTTATGGTGGTGGTGATGGTGGTGGTTATGGTGGTTATGGTGGTGGTGATGGTGGTGGTGATGGTGGTGGTGATGGTGGTGGTGGTGATGGTGGTGGTGATGGTGGTGGTGATGGTGGTGAGGGTGGTGGTGAGGGTGGTAGTGAGGGTGGTGGTGGTGGTGGTGGTCCTAACCAGACACGTGGCAAGTGCCAGGCGCTGGGACCCCTAGTTTGTTTGTGACGGCTGAACCGCAGTCGTGGTAGCGCTCTTTCCTAGTTTAGTATTGGTCTGCCAAATTAGGGACCTCCGGTGGGGTGCGGTTTACCCGTGAGGTAAACCTTGCCAAACATGATCGACCGCGGTTTCCGCGGTTTCAGGTCTCCCATTTGCAGTGTCCGGTCCCACCCACCCACCCTACCAGCCACACTATCTCATACCCCACACAACCTGCACATCCCAGTCCGCATCCTACGTGGACCTCCAAGCCAACACCACCTCTCATCCATTCCTCTGGACCCACTCCCCAGTATCGCTGATCTCCCCGTCCCAACCCCTTACGCGTCATCCCACTACCACCACGTTGAACTGCACCAGGTGCTCTCCTGATGTGGCCAAGCTGGCGGCACGACTTGTGGAAGCCCGTCACGTGCAGCCCGCCGCGGAAGCAGGGGACGCCGCGGCGGAGGGCCCCGCGCTGCAGGCGCTGGCTATGCGGGTTCGTGAGCTCAACATGCAGAAGTTGCAGCCGCTGGGGTCGGACAGTCTGGAGCAATGTCCCATGGAACAGGTGGGTGTGGGTGGGTGGGTGTTGGGATGTGTTGGGGTGTGTATGTGGGTGTGGGGGGTTGCATGTGTGCGTGGGTTCTGATGCATGCTTATGTTGATGCTTATGTTGATGCTGATCCCGTCGTCAGCGAGCGCCCCGATCCCTTCATCCCTAACTAACTAACGCAGGGCTGCATTTCAATGTAAGATGTTTTCGAGGGCTGCTTGGATTTTCTCCTGGTCGGACCTCTCCGAAACCACGGAGATGCGGAGGAGCGAAACTCTCCACCTCGCTGACGGCACTGACGGCAGCTCGGGCTGCAGCGCTGGCGCTGGTAGCATGCACTAACGGGGGACTCCTCTCTCTGACTTTGTTTTACTTGCTACCCTACCTGTTATTTAATGACTGACTTCTGGCCGGCTGACGGCTGCTGACTGCCTGCATGGCTTTTTGGGTAAACCTGGACGACCGGCGTTACAGACTCGTACAGTGCTGCACATCCCGCTACTCGTCGTATCATGTCCACGCCCAGATCGGATTCATAGCCAAGCAGGAGCATGTATGCGTGTATGTATGTACGTATGTATGTATGTTCGTATGTATGTATGTGCGTATGTATTTGTTTGTGCGTGTGTGTGTGTATGTGTGAGGGAGGGAGAGAAGGGAGGAGAGACATGGGGAGGGGGGGAGGAGGGCAGCCCCGTCATACACTGCACATATTTCCACGTACACCAATGCATGTTTTTTGCAGGCGCTTTTCCTCGCTGGCTGTGCACTCCCGGTTGTGTGCATTTTGGCTTTAGGGGCCGGGTTCAACTTACATCCCCTAATGCTAACTCGCCATCTATCAAACTGCGTTGTGGTATTAGTGGCATTAGTCAGGGTGCTGGCCCGCTTTTATTGCCGTGGCGAAACCTGGAAAAGGTGTGCCTGTGTGTGTTTGTGTATGGGGCCCGCCTCACCACGGTGACACCACATTCTTCTTGTGACCAAATGTGATCGCATCTCTTTTTCAATTCGTTCATGTTAGAGCAGGACGAATGAAGCACCACCACGAACTGGAGGAAGTATAAAAGCAAGGGGGAGAGGGACGAAACTAAGAAAACATTCCCTTGCATTGGTAGCTGCTGTGGGAGTATAGCGCCCCAAACGGCTAGCTGACATCGCGATAGGTTGATGGTGGTGGTGGTGCTGAGGTGGTGGTGGTGGTGGTGGTGGTGGTGGTGGTGGTGGTGGTGAGCTACAAGGGGCTGGTTTGTTACCCTGCACGGCTTCTGAACAGCGGAAGCCCCTGGTGGTTGGGTCGGCACACTCTCAGGGCGTGTTGGGAGGGGATGTCGGGGTAACCAGCCGGCATATGGTTAGATCGTGTGTGTCTGTTGTGTGTGATGCGTGTGTATGTGTGTCTGTCTGTGTGTGGGGGGGACCCCGTTGTGTGTGATGTGTGTTGTGTGGATGGGGGTCCGCACATAGACGACGGGGGTAGATTGCAGAACCATCGCGGACTGTTTGACGCGGATTGAACACCGATACAGATACACAGACGATTGCAGCAGCATTTATTCATTTTTCCAAAGCACGGGTAAGTAATTGATTGTCTGCCGGGCCCAGCCCAACCCCTCCGATTCGCCCGTAATATCCCCAGGACGTGTCGTCTAGTGAAGATCCAATCAGCCACTCACCACCATCCCACCGCACCAAGCGAGCACCGCATGTTGTTGTACCTGAACCCGAAGCATAACCAGTTCAGAACCCAAAGAAGCCCGACATGAAATTTATATATTTAGATCTTTCAAATCTGGACACGTACTTGCTTGCTTCACTCGACGTGGACTTGGATAGCCTAAGCTTACAATGGATGCCTGTAAAAGACTGATACATGTATGTCGTATACCCAAATCCGAAGCGTAACCAGTTCAGACACAGACACATCTGTCCCAAATGGCTTCTGCAATTCAGTTGGCCGTTACTGCCTTATGAAGAAGTGCGATGCCGTACCGCTCTGGTGAAGTGAATATTACAGCAGGCTAAGCCCGTGATGGATGTGCATCCGCAATGTGCACAAGCTTTTGGCTCCACAAAGGAATATATCAGTTGGCGTCAACATGTTGCCTAAAATGAGGGAGGTGTCTGGCTGCGGGCTGCGAATGCAACTTGATCCCTGCAGTAGGATCCTGTCATGCAAATGATTCCCCCCTTTGGCAACAGCTCATGTAACGAGGTCCTTCACCTCCCTCCCTCAAGACATGTTTGCGACCCGTGAGGTGAGGTGAGGGTACAGGTGCAAGTGACAGCCCCTCGGCGCCAGATCCCCCTGGAGATCTCTTTTGCCATCCGCTATGGCGACCTGCCTGGCTGACCGCCGGCCCCCTCCATGCCCAGCCCCGCTGATGCAGAGCCACAGGCCAGCAGCTCAGCTCGACACTGCAGCCATGCCGCCACAACATTTAGCAAGTCTGCTTTACCTGCTGGGGGCTATCAGGCTCTTCCCAGGGCCTTCACAAACTAGACCAACATCGTCGTACGCCATTAATGCCATGTTCGGTCACACACACTGCCTGCAGTCTCAGCCAAGAGCTGCGGGTCGGATGGGAAGCCGCTGTCGCAGCTACCCGACCGAGCGCACCCACCCACCAAGAAGTGCTTGAGACAAGATCCAAAATCCAGTTTAGTGACACTGGATCCAAAGGATCCGGATTCCCATGGATCCATGGATTTGGGTGGTAACGGGTGTGTGCCCAACAGTTTGTTAAGGACGGCGTGTGCGTGTATTACATATATATTACATCTTTCACACACCGGTGCTCAGGCAACCACCAGCAGCAGAACCAGCACACCCAAGGCCCGCATCATCCACGACCGACATCGAGGGCAGGCACGGCGGTACGGAAGTACGGAGGAATGCTACTGCAGACGTGACAACAGTAAACAAATTCACCCTTCCGGAAAAATAAACTACAGTACTGCCCCCTCCCCCGCCCTCTCTCTCCCCCTCCTCCCGCATCTCGTGCGCCTCCTCTGGCTCCTCCACCCTCCCCCTCACAGTGCAGGCGGCTGCACCCACACCAGCTCTTCGAGGTACGAGCACTCTGCACCAGCTGCTGGTGAGCATGAGGCCGCGCACGTGAAGGCCACCAATGTCGACCAGTCGGGGCTGGCGGGGTCCTCCTCGTCCAGGTGCAGGTAGTGCAGCAGCTGCGGCAGGACCTGCAGGACGGGGAAACCCATGGCAAGGGGGAATCCTATGCGATATGCGATATGGGAGAAAGTGGAATTGAAAAATGGGAATTGAAAAATGGAAAGCGAAACGTGGGAAGTGAAATGCCGGTGGCAAAGGGGGAGTCGCCAATCAGCAGCAGCGGGTAAAGTACGGAGTTGAAACACACCATGCACCGAACCAAATGTGCCAAATTTTCTACCACTGCTTCATTCCTGGACTACAATTCTACATATCTTGTTAGGTAAAGCTCTGCATGTACTAACTCAAAACCCTTCTTCAACCTGCTTGCACGTTGATCATCATCTATATTGGCATCATCTATACGGCATCATCATCATCTTCACCATCTGATACACACACACGCATACACACACACGCCCCCGCTCCACCCCCCCGGCCCCGGCCGCACCTGGAACTCGTGTGTCCTGGGGCTACCGCAGTGACAGCAGGGCGGGATGTCGCCCGGACCCGGCCGGTGGTGCGGTGCTGGCCACAGCGGCCGGGCGCCCCTCTGGAAGCAATACCGGATGACTTGCCGGGGTGCCCACGACACGCGGGCTTGGAAGTCCTGCGAATGTACGTCGGCGTGGGTGATGCGGATCCCACGTGGATCCAGAGTTTTGAAAGCCAGGATGTATGTATGTATATATGTATGTATGTACGTATGTATGCAAGCATCCACGTGCCAGGGGACGTGGGCGTGTGGGGTGGGTGAGGCAGTGCATTTTGGGGGGGGGGGGCAAACACACAACACGCGGCACTGGGAGGTCCAGGGACCTCCAGCAGGTCAAGAAGAGCGGCGCAGATCGGAGGATGCGGGCTTGGACACGGAGGAGGAGGAGGAGGAAGGGAGGGAAGACGAACCACGTGAACGAGTGAAGCTGATGCCAAGGAGGATATAGACTCTGATACGCCGCCGAAGTACGTAATAAAGAATATTGACTACCAGTCGCAACTTGTGAGGAAAGCGGGGGAGGGGAGAAATATTAGGAAACTGGGGAAAGGGGCCTTATAAAGGGAGGGACCTGAGGACTTTGGAAAAGACTGCTGTCGCAGGTTCCGACAATCCATGGGCTCGGTGGGGTGAGGAGAGGTGGGGGAAAGACGAACCACGAACGAGTGAAGCTGCTGCCAGGGCAAGAGGTCATGATGAGGGGCGTGGGGTCCCGGAGCGCCCCGGCGTGCGGGGCCTGAGCGCTGCTGTACATTCAGAAGATCAGGTGTCATGCCATACACACATACATGCAGACACACACACAAACTCAGATACACACAGAGTAAGCAGCAGCCAAGCTCGCTCCCTTGCCTGCCCCGCCACCCACTCTCGCCGTCACTCGCTAACGCCGCTCCCCATCCCCAAATGAATCCCCAAAATGAATCCCCTCCTCCCTCACCGCAAAGCACGTCTGCTCGGGCGCCGCCGCCCCCTCCACCGCCTCCACCACCTCCGGCGGCAGCTCCTCGTCGTCCAGATCCCCCTCGGCAGCCACCCGAGCTCGGTACTGCTGTAGGGCCCTATGTGGGAGGCGACGAAGGAAAACACACGCGGGTAAGAAGGGGAGGAAATTTCAAACTTTTGGTCATGGCGTGCGAAAGAGCTCCGCGCGCGCGCGCGGGCGGGTGGGCGGGCATGCTTGCGTGTGTGTGTGTGTCTGTGTGTCTGTCTGTCTCAGGCAGGGTTGCGCCGCCAGGAGAGCTAGGTTTAGGTTTAGGGGGAAGATTAGACCTGTCCAGGAAGAGATGCCTGATGATGACTTTCGACAGCAACAGAGCAATACGCAGATGGGTTGCTACCTGCGGGGACGGGTGGGGTGGGGGAGCGCCCAACCACTGACCAACCTGCGAACCTCTGCCTCCACCCCTCCTCGTGGTGATGATGATGATGGTGGTGGTGCGGGTGCTGCTGCTGCTGCCCGTGCGCCACCGCCACCACTGCCAGGATCCGGTGCTCTCCGCTCCCCCCCTCCTAAACCCTCCGCCGCCGCCGCTGCTGCTGCTGCGCCTAATGGGGGTTGCGACTGCGACTGTGACTGCTGTGACTGCATTTGCTGCTGTTGTTCTCGCGACTCTTCCTCCCACTCCTCCTCGTCGTCGCCCTCCTGGTAATCATCCTCCGGCTCGACAACCAGCTCCAACTCCGGGTACAGACCGCCAGGCCCTCGAATGCTTATCCGCGGCAACGGGGCCGCCGCCGCCGCCGCTGCCGTAGTACTGCCGCTGCTCCCGCTCCCACCGGCGCCATCACCTAACGGCGCCGCCCCAGCCAGCTCAGCAGCCGCCGTTTGAGCGTTAGCGCTGCCGCCTTTTCGCTTTTTAGCTGCTGCTGCAGCTGCTGCTGACACTGAAGAGGACGATGACGACGATGACGCCGACGCCCCCGGGGGCCGCTCCGCGTCCAGTGACCGCCAAGGATCCCGCTCCCGGCTGGCGTCGGCGTCGGAGGGCTGCAGCAGTGGCAGTGGCAGTAGCAGTCGCAACATAAACATCATAAACATCACTAACATCGACGAACGTAGAGCCGCGCGCCTGCCCCTGCGCTGTGTTTCGGCCCCCGGTCAGGGCCCTGCGCGGTGCTCTCGGTCCTTTCTCGGGACGAGAGCCGCCCACAGTGTAACACCCCCCATCAACATCCCTATCATCACCATCATCCTACCCGGAGTCGCGGCGGGTACTTGTCTTTCACAGTTGGGGGCTCTGAGGGGTAGTAGGGGTTATGGCGGGGGAGTTGGCAGCGGAACAGTCGTACAGCCCCGGGCTCGCGGAGGCGAGACCCCTACGACGCCAGGGGGGGAAGGTCGGGGGGGGAAGAGGGTGAGGGGTACGTGTGGAGCTGGGGGCCAGGCAAATTTGCCAAATACAAAAAGCGTGTATGTGTGTGTGTTACCTGGGACACGCCTACCCCTACCTCTTCCTACCCTACCCCTTAAACTCCCCCATCCCGGGGTTTGAAGTCCGCGTCCTCTTCCGCCGCGGGGGGCCCCCTGCCGGTCCCATGCTCTTTCCCTTTTGGAACGTCGGCATTCCAATTTTTTTGTTACTTCTCTGCATTATTATATGGTTCCTCTCCCAACGCCCAGAACACACATCATACATACATACATACGCACACGCGCACATAACACCCACACATTTCGGCGACTACTCACCTCCGGGCTGATGAACAGAAACAACGACCTGTGGAAGCCTTCGACAGGGTTAGCGTCCACAGGCGCGTAGATCTGTAAATCCATTTCGTACAGTACGACAGCACAATTGTACGACATGTATGCGAACGCACAAAAACACGGAATTGCGAGGCGCAGGGACGGGAGTGAGATTGAACAGCTGGAAAGGAAGGAGCTCAGGTGTTCTTAAATCCAAGGCTAGGCTCAGTGCCTTGTACGAGAAAACACCAGCAGTGCTTTCTGCACACTGGTGTCTAAGTCTCCGTTTGTTCGTACCTAACGTACGGCAGTATGAATCAGGTTGCAGTTTGGCGATGGGATGTCCGTGTATCCCTCTTGTGCAAGGCACACAACAGGCAATTGATTTTGACACCAAGTCCCCCCTCGCCCCCTCGCTACCTATTTCCATATCCTAAGAGATGCTCTAATCCGCCAAAACAAATTAAATAAGTAAAATTAATTAATTAAATAAGTATTATTAATGAATAATAAATATTAAGTAAATTAATACGTAAAGATATGTTCATAGAATGTTTAAATTGTTAAAAATTTTACCTGTAGAAGAAAATCCAGAGGTTTCCCGCTCGCACGGCACGTGAGCATCTCCCGCGTGGGCAGACGTACAGGATCCAGCCATGCCTGGGAGAATGCGAGGGGGTGAGAAAAAGGGGCGATAGGTGGGTTAGTGTGGTAGGACCGGGGGCATTTCATGTGCTGCGCGTGGGAAAAAGGGGGTGCCGGAGAGGACTGGCGGGAGAGGAAGGCGCTTGTGGTTGATGATGGCTGCGGGGATGTGGAGGCCAAAGACAGAGCCCGACGGGGAATGCGTGTGATTCCGGTAGTGGGGGGAGTGGGGCTGAAGGGACGGCGGCGGGAGGGGACGGGTTTGCGCAAGTCGAAAAGCCGAGAACGCAGCTACTGATGTCGCTACTGGGCATGGGGCCATTGAAAAGAATAATCTGGCGGAGGAGCTGAAAGACGAGGTATCGAGCCATGCGGCACAACGTGATGCTGAGTACCGGGTCAAAACGAGTTTTAAAGCCCCGAGCGGTTCACAGGGCTCCGAGCGCACCCACCGGTCTGCCGCCAACTTTACTCGGAAAGTGGTGCCGTAGCAGCAGGTGGGGCTTCTCTGGCTCCTCTACAAAGCCCAGGTTCCAGGAAATCTGCATCTCGCAAGGCGGCGCCGCTCAATGACTAGAAGAGCGCCGAGCAGTTTGTTCCCCGCGACGGTTTCCTTAACATGTTTCTGAAAGTGAAATGCTGTCCAGGACTGCTGCCCTACCTCGTCGGGCTCCTCTTCATCATCTGGGACTTGCTGCGCTGGCCGCGTTGTTTCCACACTTGGCATTTGAAAGCAAAATCAATATATTCACCGATAGTGATACTGAAGAACGTAACAAAATCACCGCTAGCTATGGCGGAAACGTATTGTCACGCGATGGAAAAGATGCCAACCCAAGGATTGCAAAATACAGGGTATCATAATCAGGCGCACTGGACGCCAAAGTAACTCTGATGGAAGAGCGTCATTGGCTCATTGCCAACGGTTCCGACCATCCGACGTCCGTTTAGTGCTACCTGAATAAACTGAAAAGCGATAAATACTGCCTATCCTTTCAACTGGTTCAAACCACATACAGTAAGTGGTTTGGAATACTTTAATGTCTGTTTTCGGCGTTTAAACAACGGCGCTTCTAGGCTGATGGGAGCTGTGTCCTTGACTGTTCTGTGGTCCCCCAAAAACACCAGCTCAAGGCGCACATCAGCAAGCCTCTGTGTACAATCCTAGTGGCTGCAACCATTTCCATCGTTTGACAACGTGCATAATGGACTCCTGCGCGAGACCAACATCAGGCTCCTCCTGCACGACGGCAACACCAGGCGGCAGATTCTTGCTCCGCACACCCAAAACCAAAATGAGATGGCTACGCACAACGACCATAACCACCATAACCACCATCAAACCCAATCCAGGAACACGCACCTCTTGGTTTTGCCCTCCCGGCAACACCCGCTCTCCCCCGGGGCACCGGGCCCTACGTCTCAACGCACGCCCATGGCCCCTCTACCCCACCCCCTTCAACCCCATTTCCACCTCCACCAACACCGCCGCCCACAACACTCCAATCCACGGCACTGCCAGTACTCCCCTCACCAGCCCCAATCATGTCCCCGTCAGCAGCAGGAGCAACAACAGCCCTGTCAGCAACGGTACCAAGCCACATGCAACGCGTTGCCCCTCCAACTCCCCTGCCGTACTGGCTACTGCAGCTGGTGAGCCCGATGACACGAACCCAGCCGACGCGGCCTCAAACACCCAGCAGGCAGCCTCGGGGGTTAGCCCCCACGATAACCTCCCCCACCACGCCTCCTCCCCCACCACGCCTACCTCAGCTTCCGCCTCCAATCCCCTAGCCTTCCCCTCCCCCTCCCCCGCCGCCACAAACACCACCAGCACCACAACAGGGCCCTTTTGGAACCTGGCCCTGCACGGCATCGTCAGCGTACGGCAGTTGAACAAGCAGTCCGCCTCCTCCTCCTTCTCTTCCTCCTCTTCCTCCTCCTCGCTCCCATTCCTCCTGGTTTCCTTCTCCTGGTTCGCTTCCCGGCAGTCCGCCTGGAGGCAGTGGCTCACACGTAGGGCCCAGGTGATCCGCGATGGGAGGGGTAAACGAATGGGGGATGGTGCTGGAGGGAGGGGAGGGAAGGGGAGGTAGCGCGTGGGTAAAACACACACACACATACACACATATACGCAAATACACACACATCATCTCCGGGCAGCCGAACGGATAGCCGACAGACAGAGTAGCAATCCATCAATCAATCAATGCGATCCGAAGCCATCGCAGCGATCCAGAAGATAAAACAAGATTTGGCACAACCTTATAACAGGCTTCTTGTACCTACTGGCTTCCGCACCGAAACCATACGACATGCCTCTGCAGATGCTGCAGTACAGGTTGATGTTGCTGTTCCGGTTGCCCACCTGGGGCAAGCTGGTGGCGCTGGTGTGTGTGGGTCTGCCCATCGTGTTGATAGGCTCGTGGTTATTGATGAAAGCGACCAACATGGCCTGGGGGGAGGCTGCGCAACTGACATTCTACGTGCTACAGAGCGTGCCGGGTGCGTGCAGGCTGGAGGGCGGGAAAGCGAAGGGGATGGGAGTTTTGGGGGGAGGGGTAAAGGAGGGGAAAATGCGGGGTTTTCATCACCACTCGCCACTCGCCATTTGCCGCAGCGTCTGAAGCAAAATCCGGTCGTACCCGTCACCGCATTGACACGCAGTCCACTGTGTTGTGTTTTTTCTCTCTTCCCTCTCTCTTCCCCTCCCTGCCGTACGTTCGTACCTACTGCCGTACCCAGGTGCGGACATCACCCGCTTTCCCCAGGTCAGCGCCCGGCTGGTGCTGGTGGCCGTACACCTCTTGTCGCTGTACACCTTCGCCACGTTGGTGGGGTTGCTGACTGAGGACGTGCGGAGTAACGTGGAGGAGATACGATGGTGTGTGTGTGTTTCGTGGGCCGGGGGGGAGGGGGGGAAGAAAGCCGGGAGAAACGGTGCGTTGTATTTGTGTGCCTGTCTCTCCCTGTTTCTGTATCCTCTATGGATGATGCCCTTTCCCTGCAGCAGCACCAGCAACAGCAACAGCAACAGCAACAGCAGCAGCAGGGACCTGCCTTGGTTCGTATTCCCCACCCCCCATAGCCATGTCTCTCACTTCACACGCGATCGACAACGACCTGGCCTGCTGCGGCTCCTGCTGCTACGACGGACTCTCAGCTCCTCCTGGGCGCCGCCGCCGCACCCGCCGCCGCCGTGGAGCCGCTGACATCCAATACACATCCCACTGTTAGTGGTTCGTCCCCCCCCCTTCCAGACCAGGAACCCGCAGTTTCCCTTTCCCCACCCCACCCTACCCCCGACACCCCGCACCCCCAAATCCCTCCAGTGGCAACTTCCCGCTGCCCTCCCGGGATCACACTGTCGTACTTGACTGCGGGGTAGCACCTGGCCGAGTGGTCGGGACCCTACAGAAGGTGGGGGGTGGGTCGGGGGAGCGAGGGAGGTGTGTGTGTGTGTGTGTGTGACGCAATTGGAGCGGGGTCCAGGTTCCCCTGGGGTCGTCCCTCACCCGGCTTTCCTCCAACCCTCATTCGTAATAAATTATATAGTGTATGTATGTATGTATGTAATATATATAATGGTATATATACTACATATATACCATTATATGGTATGTATGTTGTTACAGGGTGGTATAGCTTCACCAGCGGCCCCCTTTCCCGAGGCAGTTCCCTGCTCTCCCCTGCTAGAGGGGCACCCTAATCCGTTCACCCCATCCGACTTCAGAATGTATTCGTTGGGTTCAGCAACTCACCACCAGCATCCAACCAAATCTAGCGGATCAACGGCGCCTCAACTTAGTTCCTGGTCAGCTCGCAAGTATATGGTATATATATATATATATATATTCACATTTATACATATACATTACGGCCGCATGCGCACTACTTAGGGAAAGCCCCTGCAAAAGCCCCCTCCTCCCCCTCCTGAACCTGAACAACACAATGTGCCCATGATGTGCCATGGCAGATACTGGGCGCACGAGAGGCCCATGGGTCGCACGTGTATGCGGGGGACATTGCCGTACTGAGCACATACCCCAAGGTAAGTGAGAGGGATGGCAAGGTGCTGAATTACGATCTCAGCTGGATGTGCTCGTACTGTGCCGTACGTACTGTACGGAGCCGTACCGTGCCAGCTGAGTCGCCGAGTTCCACGAAAACACCGGAAAGGGTTGTTATTGCGGTGAAACACAGGACGTGGTGTAGCAGTTACACGTGCGTATGTACGGATATGTACGGCGGGTACTGCCCTCATGCTGTTGTGCCTTCTCTGCATTCTTGTTACCTTCTCTCTCCCCCTGGGCGGTGAGGTAATTACATTCGTACGTACCACGCCGTACATTCCCATGCTTTGGTTACCGTACTTGTTCCGTAGGACGAGCTGGATAACATGATCGCGGACGTTCTCCCGAAACACTTTGGCCGAGTAGTCACACGGCACGGCAGTCCCATAAAGGTGAGGCTGGCGGTTGGCGGTTGGCAACTGTGACCTAATATTACCGTAGGGGAGAATAAGAGTGTCGTACATCCCTTGGCGGTTCCGGCTCATCCGGGCAACCCTAAAAATAGAACAGAAACCGCCAACTGTAACCACCAATAGCCACCATGATTTTTCTGCATGTGCTCGCTCCTCGTCTGCCTACCAAATTCGGTTACAATTTCACCAATTGTACGTAACTTACCAACTGACACCACTTAACTGATAACTGACAAATAATATTACGGTTCTTTGCAACTCTGTTTGCAGGTCTCTGACCTGGAGCGCGTGGCGGCGCCGCATGCTCGTACAGTGCTGCTGCTGGCGCCTGACCGACCCGCGGGTCACCTAGGCCCCGCGCTGCAACAGCAGTTGTGTCTCACCGCCCTCCGCTCCCTGCAGCCGCAATCCCATAACCCACATCACCATCCCGCTAACGACCACCGCCTCAACCACAATGGCTCTGCGCACCACCCCCACCACCCCCGGGCCACATCAACACCTCCAGCCATGTCATCCGCATCGTCGTCTTCAACCTCGGCATCATCCGAACATAATGGTGGGTCCAACAGCCCTTCGCAACATCAACACCAACATCAACACCAACATCAACACCAACATCAACACCAGCAGCACCAGCAGCACCAGCACCAGCAGCAGGGGGCCCGGCCCCGGCGGCAGCGCGTGGTGGTGGAGAGCAGTACGGCAGCTACGTCAGGGGGGATGATGGCCGCCGCAGCGGCGGTTGCTGACTTTGATCCGGATGATCCGTTACAGGTGGTTGGGGTGGTTGGGGTGGTTGCGGTTATAGTGGTGGTGGTAATTGGAGACTGGTGTTTGGTGGTTTTTGCGCAGGAGAAATAGCAGGGGATACGGGAGTGAATAGAGATACGGTTGGTGGTTGACGGCGGCGGAACGGTGCACGTGCGTTAGCAGCATGTGTGTGTACGGCGGGTATATGTGTACGGCGGGTCATTACCTTACGGGTAATCTTTCCTCACCAGTAAGCCTCATTAGTAATCCACCCCAAGGTACAACTCCAATGGCGTAGAAGGCATCCTAAACACCGCCCTCTTTTTCCTCCATAGCGTGCAGTACACGGTGTCGTACCCATACCCGTGCCGTACCTTACATCGCCTTTAAGTGGGCTGAACATATCCTAACTGACTGACTTTATGCTGCGCTACCTAAAACCTGTGTCAGGTGACGTACGTGTCCAGCGCCAGCAGTACCTCTCGTGTAGCGGTACAGTGTGCCGTACAGCCTGGCCTTGCGGCGGTCTTCGACGCTGTGTTTTGCCGTGCTGACGACGCGTCCTTGCGACTGCTGGAGCTACCTCCCGAACTGGCGGGTGCGTTTGGTTGGTTGGGTGGTTGGGTGGTTGGATTGGGAGCGTTTGGATACTCGTGCTGGGAGGCTTTGAGGGAGATGCGGGATGTGGGGTTCAGACCTCTGTTGCTGTGGTATAGGGCCCTCCCTGAAGTTTCGTTAGCTCTGTTTCTGTGTTTGTTAGTCCTGTTCTTGTGTTTCGTTAGTTACTGTTTTTTGCTGGCTTCTTGAGGTTGATTTTGTTGCAAACACACAATCCTTGCCGCCTTGCCGCCTTGCGCCCACCCCAAACGTGCTGTAGAGTGCCCACCTGGAATCAAACCCTTGCCGTACATACAGGTCGTACATTTGCTGAGGTACGGCGCCGCTTCCGCCGGGCAGTGCTATGCGGTCTATTGCCTGGCGCGGAGGTCAGCAAACGCAGTAACAGTAGCAGCAGTAGCAGCGGTAACAGCATTATTCTTTCGCCTCCGGACGACCGGGTGCTCGAGCCGTACGACAGGCTGTTGCTGCTGGCTGCCACACTGGGGGATTGTACCTTTATTGGGGGGAAGGTGCGTGTGCGTGAGGGCGTCACGGCGTGTCCATGTGTATTTGCGTGCATATGTATGTACGTATGTTTGTATATATGTGCTCCCCTCACCTCTTCCCTCCCAACCACTCGGCCCCATCTCCATCCCCCATAACCCACCTCCTAACAACCCCTGGGAAGTGCTTTCCACTTCCTACATTTCCCCAAAAATGTGCCTAATGCGCTTTGGACGCGTCGGCAGCTGTTGAACCTTTTTGTCCCCGTTTGTATCATCACCATCATCGCCATCATCACCATCATCACCACCATCACCATCATCGCCATCATCACCATCATACCACCATCACCATCATCATCATACCACCATCACCATCACCACCATCACCATCATCACCATCATCACCATCATCACCATCATCACCCCCATCATCACCATCATCACCATCATTACCATCATCACCATCATCACCATCATCACCATCATCACCATCATCACCATCATCACCATCACCACCATCACCATCATCATCACCATCATCACCATCACCATCATCACCACCATCACCATCATCACCATCATCACCATCACCATCACCATCACCACCATCACCATTACACCATCATCACCATCACCATCACCATCACCATCACCAACATCACCAACATCACCAACATCACCAACATCACCAACATCACCAACATTATTATCATCATCATGCAATTCCCCGACCTATTCCACCACGGCCCACCCTTGGCCCCCTACAGACGGCCCCTGAGGCACCCCAGCTGCCGCCCCTATGCCGCCGATACGATGGCCATCGTTCCCGCCCGCGCCGCCTCCTGCTTCTGTCGTTCGACAGCTGCCTGAGTGGCCCCCTGCTGGCCGCACTGGACGAGTTCGGAGCCCCGGGGTGCTGTGTGACCGTCGTGTCGCCGTGAGTGGGATTGGGGACTAGCGGGGAGTTTGAGGGGCGGGGGGGATACGTGCATGTATGCATGCATGTATGCATGCATGCATGTATGCATGCATGCATGTATGCATGCATGCATGTATGCATGCATGTGAACTGAGCCGCATGTTCACTGAGGTGTGGGTCTGTGTGTCTATCTGTGTGTCTGTCTGTGTGTCTGTCTGTGTGTCTATCTGTGTGTCTATCTGTGTGTCTGTCTGTGTGTCTATCTGTGTGTCTGTCTGTGTGTCTATCTGTGTGTCTGTCTGTGTGTCTATCTGTGTGTCTATCTGTGTGTCTGTCTGTGTGTCTATCTGTGGTATTTGTTTCGCCTATTGTGGGGTGCAGGGAGCCCTGCGCTGGGCTGCCCTCCGGCCCAACACCGCTCAACCGGCTGGTGCTCCGGAACCACGTGGGGGATCCGCTGGGACCCGGGGCGCTGCTAGGGGCGGATGTGGCGGCCGCAGACGCCGTCATCCTGTCGGGTGAGTGGGCTCTGTCTGGTGTGATGAATGTGGGGGAGATGAGTTGCGGGGAGACGGGGCGCGACCAAGGCTTAGGCTAAGGCTAAAGCCGGAGAGGGTACAGCGGTTGCGGTTGTCAGTTAAGTGGACTGTACGATATACGACGGCTGAAAGGACTACGCCTGCTGAGGCTGAGGGAAGGAAGGCTGGGGCTGGGGCTGAGGGAAGGCGCCGCCGCTGCCTCCGCGGCCGCAGCAGCTAATAAAAAGGCAAAGATGGAGCAGCATTAGGGTTGGGTGAGGTGAGGCTAAATTAGGCATCTATTGTTGTACCGCTGAGTCGGTCGGGTGCAACCCGTGGGCTGCAATGCAGGTACGGAGGGTTTACCACCGGACGAGGCGGATGCAGTGGCAGTTGGCACGGCGCTGCTGCTGCAACGGCTGGTAGCGGACCCGTGGGTCATGTCCTGTGGAGGCGCTGAGGATGTCGCTGCCGCAGCAGCAGTCGCGGCCAGCATTGATCCTGATGAGTACTGGCGGAGTGCCGTACTTGCTGGGGATGGCGTCCGCGGCAGTTTTAGCAGCATTAGCAGTATAAATGACGACGACGGCGAGTCGACGTCGGAGTCAGCAGCTGCGGTGGCGGCGGCGGCGGCGGCGGCACCCTTCGAGCAGCGCCCGCCGCCGCCGTCCCGGCCACTGACGTTTGTCTGTTCCATCAGGGACCCACAAACTAGATCCGTGCTGCAGTACATTGGTGTCGAGGCATGTCGTACGGCTGTCCGTACAGCGGTCGTGGCGGCGGTCCCTGGCGTTGGCGGCGGCGGCGCTGTGGCTAGCCGGGGACTGAATATCGAGATCATCGAGCCGCAGGCACTGATCAGCGGAATGTTGGCACAGGTAAAGTAATATGTGCGTCATCATGTGCGACATACGGTATGTCGTACTGCAGTACAGGGCCTTGGGTCCGACGTTCGGTCACCATACTGGCAATGTACACATCCTTCCTGACAAGGCTGGAAGCCATAATGATTAACAACGACGTCAATCCCGTCAGTTTTGCCCCTTTACGCATTGTCCGCGGCCGGCTGCCGTACTTGTTCGCACTAAAATCGTACACATACATTCCGGCATACAAACAAACAAACATGCTTAATATTCAGGTTGGCGCCGAGCCGATGATAGTGAGCGCGCTGGAGGATTTGCTGGACGAGGAGGGCTACGAAATCTACATCAAGCGCTCTGATCGGTACGGCATTCCGCCGTACAGCCACGTCAGCTGGTCCCAGGTACGGCACTGAGGATGGGCTTGAAAGGCACAGCCGGCCAAGCCATAAAAAGATGGAAAGGAACTCCCCCAGCCTAACCCGTCCACAGCGCCATTCAGTAACGCTACACGCACACGCATCCGGGTGTGTTTCGGCCTCCACCACTTCACCCTCTGCCCCGCTCTCGCCGAACCTGCAATTGAAAACCCGAATAACAAAACCGTATGTGACGTACGGCACGTGGTGTTGCCGTACGTGTATAAACCGGCAGGTTTCGGAGCTACTTCGTAGGGATGGTGAAGTGGCTCTGGGCTACTGCCACAGGGGGGTCCTTCATCTTGCTCCACCCGCCGACCTGGAGGTGCAGCTAGTGGCGGGCGACAAGTTGGTGGTGCTGGCGGAGGGGTTCTAATGTGTGTGCGTGTGTGTGTTTGCACACACACATACACACATGCACACACACACACACACACACACACACACACACACACACACACACACACGTACACACACACACAGGGGAAGAGGGCGGAGGTCCGCGATAAGTCGTATCCTGATGGACATGGGTGTACAGCGGGTGTTTAGCTTGGTGTGTATTAGGGGGTATGTGTTTAGGCGGATGCGTTAAGAAATACACATGCACACATATAACCATACAAACATACATACAGATACACACACAGAGAGAGCACACATACAGAATATACATATCTACAAACACACACACAGATGTAAGAGAGGCGCACACGGGATTTTTACTTCTTGTCGCATTGCTTTGCTTCGTCTGGGGTTGTGTGTCCTTTGTGAGGGGGGGGAACGTATCTCCCCCCCTCCCGAGTGCAAAGATAATCCCTTCTATCTGTAACGCTTACCCGTACATCAGTGAGAGATATTTTAGGTGCTCCTAATCCTCCTGCTTCATTTGCGCTCTTTTTCCTCATTTTCGTTAGTTCGTTAGTTTTGAGTTTTTATTTTTGCACCCAGAGACACCCAGATGCCAGGGGTGCTGGGCTTCTGGGATGTATTTACACATACAGTTTTTGGAGTCAGCGAATATAACAGTAAATGATATTGTTTAGGGATTTTTATTTTATGCAATTTACGCATTACGTGTGTAGATACGGCCAGATGAAGTGTGGAAGAGGAGACAAGGAATGGCTCTCTGGGTATGAGAGGACAGGTAAATGTACGGATGTATGTTAGCGTACGGCAATGCGTCACCATGTGTGCTAATGTAGCGCATACAAGAAACCTAGTCAGTGGGTACGTAAATCTGTTTCTCGTGGGCGCGTACGGCAAGTGTACGGCTGACATCGTGTGTGGCCATGGCACATGGCTTGGCTCGGCTCGCTGCTTGCTGATGTGGATTTTGGATTGCACAAATATTATATATATTATACACTGGGATGTTGAATGCATATCAAAAAATATGATCGCGTGGTTACGTATACATTATTGCCTGGGTGAAATACATGCAGTCGCCCGATTACTCTCTTGCTTTGGTGTCCGCCAGCACTCCGCTGCCGCTGCTGCTGCGTTCCTGCCATGCAGCCTTTGTCGTTTTTGCTGCTGTTGCTGCAACTTGCTGCTACTGCTCTTGCTGGTTTCAATAGAGTCGTGCATGCAATAGTTTATGTGTAGATTCTTATATTACAGGCAGGCGGCTCGGCAGAGGTTAAGGCCCGACTTCTGCTCCCGGCCGACCCGGGTTCAAATCCGCCTGCCGGCTCTTCAGGTGTCTGAGGAGTGATGCAATGGGAGGGGGCCCACCATCATATGGACGATGTAGGACGTGATAAAATCAACTTGCGAGCTAATCAGGAACTAAATTGATGCGCCGTTGATCCGCTAGGTTTGGTTGGATGCTGGTGGCGAGTTGCCGAACCCAACGAATACATTCTGAAGTCGGATGGGGTGACGGATTAGGGTGCCCCTCTAGCAGGGGAGAGCAGGGACTGCCCCGGGAAAGGGGGCCGCTGGCGAAGTTAACCACCCTGTAACAACATACATACACGGCGTATTGGTATCTGAATAACGCCTTTCTGCAAGATTAAAATCATGCTTGCAACAGTTGTAAGGATATACTATAATGGTTCTTCCCACCCACGCACGCTCTCTCGCTCTGTGTAATGCAATTCGTTGCGTGTTTCTTTTCCTGACCGTGAGGCACCCCCCCTTGAGGCAAACTGATGCTGAGCAGCTAGGTGTTGTTCGCCTGCGTTCACGATGAGTGAGCTCTGAAAGGAGTATCGCTTTCGCTATACGCATGATGATTAGCTTCTATGTATGTATGCGTGTATGACTTAGATTAGACTGTGGGCCGCGAGAGCCGGGGGCCGAAGCCGAAACACAGCGCAAGGGTCGGGAGCACACAGCACAAGTCGGTTAGTCTTGTGTGCTCCCGACCCCGACTCAGACTGCCAACACTCTACGCAGCCACTCTGCAGCCCGATGGCGCTGCAGTGAAAACACCACAAAGGGCTCTCAGGTCCCGCTAGAACGAGTCCACAAGGTGCGTGTATGTATGTATGTATGTATGGGCGTATGTGACACCAAATCAAAGGATGTATGTAGGCGGCATAAAGAGACCGCCGCCACACTGCCGGTTCATTTGAGGACCCCCTAAAAACATTGTGACGGCAGATCTAATAAAGTTTAACTCCTTTTCCGAAAGGGGGGCGCTGGAGCTGCAAACTGTTGTAAAGATAAAATAAAATAAAAATGCCGTCATCATCGAATTAATGAAAGAACCCACAGCGGCAATCATGTCGGTAGCCGCATTAGTCGAAGGTGGAGCAGGAAGTTGTCCATGGCTGCCTGTCCTTCAGACGGCTGGTCTTCTCCATTAGCCACATACGATGACGCGTGACTTCGCCATGTACGGCAGATGTATGTTGCAAGTTGCTGATAACCTGGTGATGAAATGGGCATCGTTTCCATGTTAATTACAGGCAGAAAAAAATAATTTTTTACTAAATGCAATTCCGTTTGTAATGTTCAAGGGTCGGCGAAGGGAGGGCGCAAGCGCAGAAACGATCGCCACGTATATTGCTGGCAGACGCTGCTGCTGGCAAAGCGTGCGGCGCACCGGGCCCCGAACGGCGGTTGATAAGCAACCGCCGCTAAGTGCCGCAATTCATGTCAGTTTGATTCTGTCCCGTGCGTCCTGTTTTGGAGTATGGTAGAAGGAAAGCCGCCAGGGCCCTTTCAGGCAGATCACCAAACCGCCGCGAGTCGGCCCGGCAATGGCATGTATCCCTAGAGAAAATGTGATAAGCGTGTAGTATATGAAAACTGGATTGGAATAAACTGCGACTTTTATTTCCAACTACGCTAGATCAGTCAGAGCACAGCAGCATATATACCGGGAGATATCTGTAACTTAGGTTGGATAGCCTATGGCTAAGTTATCATTGCACGCTGCCAGCGTTTGTAAACTGCAAAAATAGATATGTTTACGCGCTTTAAAGAAAGATCTCCAAGACAGTTGAAGACGCCAGCAGATGCATGGGAGGTGCGAAGGAGCGAAATACGAGTCGCGCACCCCTTCCACTAAGCGAGATTACGCCCTTAGGTGTGGCGAACATGATCCCTACGAACTATGGTGTCCACGATGTTTTCTTTAAGATTTTGATATAAAATAATTTATTTTCTATCGATTGATGCTTAAATTTCAGAGACGCGGTCCAAAAGAGGAGCTCAAACCTATGCGGCAAGGCAAGTTGCCGCGAAGAGACCTGGGAGATGGCGGGTTGCAAGATGGCTGAAGCAGGGTATATGATAATGCACGATGGACAAATTACACACAGATTCTTCGCGCGTGGATTCTTTCCATTTCGATCGGCACTGATCGACAATAACTATTGGCCAAGGACAACACGGTCTCTGCTTGCAAGGACCCCGGTCACGGGTAGCCAGAGGGCGTTTCAAAGAGGCTAGGAAACGCTGCAATATTACGTATTGCTTAATTGAATAATTGGTTGCAATGAACCAACGCCAGCAAGACCGCTTCCTCAGCCAGCGCACAACCATGGACCTGGAGGTGTTGGAAACCAATCTACATCCCACGAACTTAATCCAAAATCGCGAACCCAAAAGCATTGGGCAAATATTATAACCCTTGGCTGTACAAGTACCACGATAGAGCCTCAGGCAGGGAGAAAAGATCGTGCGACCAACCGCTGCGACACAATCAAGCTGATGCTACTGATGGGGCGCTTCCGTCACGCATCGGCATAACGCACGAGCGGCAGATTCTGAAATGCACTTTGGCGCATCTGCAACATATGCCATTAACGTCAGATGCAAGATAGATAACACTACGCGAGTGGCAGGAGGTGGGTGGCAGCAATGTAGGGCCCGAAAGCCAATCGATGAAAGTCACCCATCCCCGGCATACCGGATGCAGATCATGCGCGGTGCCCAGTTTGAGCGCTAAGATGAAAGCACACCGCTCTACAGTTTAAAAAAGCTTCATTCAACCCAACTCTTGCTGCTTTGCATTGCAACGCAGCTCAGTTAAGTCTTAATCCCACCCCCCTGACCTGTTCGGTTCTGACGCATCACCATCGCATCACCAGTCCAACCCAAGCGCGACAACTCATCATGCAAAGTGTGGTGGCCCGGAACATATCTGCGGACAAAGCCGCAGCCGCAGCCGCAGCCCCACAGGCATAGATACATACAGGCACAAGCACACAAAGAGAGTTAAACTCAAACACAAACAAAGGCACACCGACAGAGCAATGTCTAACAATCAATGATCACTGAACCCCTCTTGGCTGTCCTGAATGGCGCCTGATCGAGCTGTTGCAGAAGCATGTAGCCTTGTCATGCCATGCACAGTAAGCCCAGCCCAGTCCCAGTAGTCCTAGTCCCAGCCACCAGCCTATTTCAGGCCCAGTCCAGCCACCAGCCTATTTCAGGCCCAGCCCAGCCACCAGCCTATTTCAGGCCCAGCCCAGCCACCAGCCTACTTCAGGCCCATTCCTTCGCCAAGAGTACCGGGGACCTGAACCACGGAAGAGATCCACGCGATAACATTTACTTACTTGGTCGACAGGAAGCAGCAGTACATTTGTGCAGCCGTGACGGGTTTTAGTTTATATGCATGTGGGGGAGGGGGTGAGAGAGCCCCAGGGGAACGGATCGGACGGTATGAATGGTGTGTGAACGGGAAAGGGAGGGCACAAACCGTGACGTGTCAGGAGACCATGAATGACGTTTAGGGTTGCGTGGGGTTGGGAGGACGCTTTGGCGAGTCTCAAAATAAGTCGTTTACCATTTTTACGAGCAGAGGAGACCAGCGTTACCTGCCAAGGCGTTCCGGCAAGCCTATGTGGCCTTCATTGGAGTATCAGCTTATTATGAGCTGTCATGGAACTTTTGTTTGCCTTGGCCCATGTAAAGCCCTCTATCTTGCTTCAAAATAGGATGGTAGCTTTTAGGTTAATGAGTATAATCTGCTTGGAAGATACCATGTAACAGGAACTTTTAACTTCGGCTTGGGCCGCGGCCGCCGTCGGTGGCAGGCGCTTTAAGAATGCTGATTGCACCGAGATTGGAGGCGATAGACACGCTTAGCACGGCGGCAGACACGCTTTGAATCTAGTAGCGTGACGTAAACCTTATTAATTGTTAGTACTTTTACTAGTTTGCCTTACGCACGCATCACATTACGAACGTATTCCTCGCACCGTTTCGGCGCTGCCAGACGTATTAACGCCCCACTTTGCGTCGCTTCGTCTTCCCTGGTAACGGAGGTCGAAAGCTAATGCTTTCCATAATTGTCGACCCCGTAAATCCAAAGTTCGAAGGCAGAATTTATTGTGCCCAAGATCAACCCATTCGGGAGTTGGGGTTACACGAGCAGCGCGGTTGGCGGCCACGATCGGGTAGTTTTTGTTTCCTTGTAAGAAAATTATCACGAGATAAACATTTTTTAAATGTAAAAATAAATGAACACAGGCAAAGGTCTGAAAGCCAGACGAAAGTTCCATGGGTTGCCTAATTCGTTAATGCGCCGAGCAAGTAACAAGTGCGAAGCTTTTAATCCAGGACACTCGATGAAAGTGACGGTTGTAAAGTCCTTTTTACCCAAATGAAATCGCTTTCACCTAATATCCCTACCTGGTCCTGCTTCGTTATACGGCCTCGCATCAAGAGAATTTGATCATCCTGCAGCCCCGCATAAGTCCTTCACCTTACTCAGGGAAATTACTCGCGCTGCCGTCCCGTTGTGGTCTCCGTACAACCTTGCGTACAAAGGTAAAACATGGCTTGGCCCCAACAAATGCACAAGTAAGCCAGCGGGGCGAGGCACACTTCTCGCTCCATCTTTGTATTTTTATTACGTAGATCAATTTCGGCAATGGTTCACGGAATACGAACCGCCCAGTTTGAAGGGTGAACTCTGTTGTGACTTTGCGCTTAGATTTTATCAGTAGTAATTCAAAAAGTATATTTTTCTGCTTCAGGAACGACGTTGCAGGAGCCGCTCTGTAGTGCAAGGCGTCGGCGTGCTTGCCGGAGGCTCATGGAGGACCTTGCGGAAGTCCTTACAGAATTCCATCCCTCAACTGGCAAAGTACCTCATCTTGATACATGTGGGTTGATAAGTAATGTTTGGTATGTCGCGTTTGCTTGCGTGCGAGCTGCAAGTTGCACTTGCCGCCGTTTGCAAGAGAGGGGTCTCCACGGCATCGTTGGCTGACTTTGGCAGGGATGCGAACTGCAAACGCAAGCCATAGTTTCAAATAAAAGCTTTTACTTGCTGCTGTGCAACCCTGGTTGCTTCATATTCGGTGTTGATGCCATTTCCCGAATTGCAGTGTCCCAGGCCCACCTGCCGATTGCAAGAGAACTTCCCAACAATGATAGTTTAAGGTTGGAGGAGTATTTGTCGGCAGGCTCCTTTGCTGTCCTTGACGCTGCGCTCCACTCTATCTGCGAGTCGCAAGCCACGCTACCAGAGACCAACGCTGGGTCCAGCGCACCGAGCTCCTACTATCACAGCCATCAGGATCAAAATGCACTGACGGTGCGGATGGGTTGGGCATAGTCATCGTCCTGTTAGTGTACCGTGTGCCATGCCAAACGGCCATAATTTCTGTTTGGCGCTTGCGGAACAACTCTTTCCCGCTTATAAAGCTTACATATCTTCCCCAAATCTGTTGCTCCAGGGCCAAGGCACGAACCCGATGTTGGCGACAAGACAAGGTGCGCCACGTTCTTGCATGCTGCGTATTCATGTGAGCTTGTTCCCTGTATTCTACAAACGTCCATAAATAAACTACATTCATCATCTTGCATCTTTTGAAGAGTCGAACGGACTAACTGATGCGCGAGCGAACGAACGACTGGAGCCACCGTGAAACCTGCGAATGGTTTTCCGCACACAGGTCGCACCAGCCTAGCCCAGCCATGGTACGGCGACATGAAACACATTGCCGGTGCCACAGAATCCCCAAAAGGAGTGTTATATCGTTACATAACTGCCGTCGCGGTGTACAGAGTACTTGCAAAAGCGCAAACAACGGAATCTGCTCGCCTCCGTCTGGCCATGGCATGAGACAATGCCGTTCTTTTCCCTTACCCCGTATGAATAACGCCGGCCGCGCATGGGACACACACTCTCGGGCTTTTCCTGCAGGGTTTACATCCGGCCAACTGGCGGCATCTACTACTGGCCAGACGCTGCAACAGCAGACGCAGCAGCACCAGCAACAGCAGCAGGAGCACCAGCACAGGCAAGCCGCAGACGGCGGCCAGGCTGCCGCCAGCGGGACCGGTAGCAGCGGCCTCTTCCCCAGGCAGATGAACCCGCAACTGGCGCAGCCCCCGACGCCACAGCAGCAGCAGCAGCAGCAACCATCGCAGCATCAGCTGCAAGAGCTGCAACACCAGCACCTCCACCAGCATCAACATCAACATCAGCATCAGCAGCATCAACAACAGCAGCAGCAGCAGCTGTTGCAAGGCACACGGACGAGTCCTGCACAGCAACCCTCGGCCCCTGCGCAGCAGCCACAGCAGCAGCATTCACTGCAGAACCATCAACAACAGCAGCAACAGCACCAGCAGCACCAGCAGCAGAAGCGACCATCATTAGCCTCAGGTGGCGCAGCATGTTCTAGGGGACCCTCTCGATCAGAATCGAACTCAAACGGTAGCAACCAAATCTCCAGAGACGCCACAGTCCCTCCCCCCCACGAGAGCAGTACTGGAGAGGTACGATACGAGAGCCGTACGGATATTCAATAATCTGAGAGGTCTCGTGACACGTCAGTATAATATACCCAGATTCCTGCTTTTCCCCCATGATTTCCCCACAAACACAAATCGCACATACATACATACATACATACATACATACATACATACATACATACATACATACATACATACATACATACATACATACATACATACATACATACATACATACATACATACATACATACATACATACATACATACATACATACATACATACATACATACATACATACATACATACATACATATGCACGTACATACGCACGTACGAACGCATGCATGCAGCGAAGGCACCTCTTCATTTCGGCATCCCAAGATGTGTCAAGTGGGTGGTCGGGTAGTGAAAAGTTGTAACGGATGGTCGCGGCTACGTCTGGCTGCCCAACTGCTTCCGATTCCCTTGCTGGAACCGGGGAAACCTATCCTTTTCCCCCTCCCCCTGGTCTACTGGTTTCAGAGTGGGCCGCGGGCTGATTCGGGGCCGATGGAGGTTCAGGTGGCCAGGGCAACGGGCGCCACCGCCGCCGCCGTCGTCACCACAGTGGCAGCCGGGGCCGCGGGTGGCGGGGGCGGCAGCGGCGCCAGCGGCAGCCGCGGTGACGGGCATGTCGCCAGTGGGCCGGCGGCGGGGCCCGCCGGTGGCGCTTCCGACCAAACGCATCCTCCCCCTCCCCCGCCAGAAGTTAGCACTCCCCCTGCAGAGGGCCGCAAGCTGCGAGAAGAGGAGCAACGTGACGTGGAGGAGGTGGGGCGGGGTGAAGAGCTGGTGGGGCGGTGGCTTCGGTCGGTGCGGGCCCTTAGTGCGGGTGTGAATGTTGGAGTCGTTGGTGGTGCCAGGCCTGCATCGCATCGCGTGCTTAGGTACGTGCTCAGGATATGTATAGGTCTTAGTCATGGCCACATACATATAGGTTATAATAAGGGTTTGGCACCACTGGTAAGGCGCGACCATTGCCCCCGGGAGATCCCGGGATCGATGGTGGAAGGCATTGCGCCCCTAGTTGATGGACGATGGTGACCTGGGATAAAGTTAACCTGCGAGCCGACCAGGAACGGAGTTGGGCCGCTGTCGACCCGGCAGATTCCGTTGGATGCTGGTGGTGGGCGCGGAAACTGAGCGATCCACTGAGAAATTGACTAGGGTGACTGGATGAGGTTGCCCCGAAATACCGGGGAAGGCAGGGTTTCGCAGGATAGCTGCCACGGGCGAAGATACACCCCCCTGTTTCACACATCATATAGGTCTTAGTTGGCAGGGAGGTGCCATGACAGGGTTGTGCAGATGCAGGTGCAGGTGCAGGTGTGGTGTGAGGGCATCTGGCTCTACCAGGGTGTTGGCCCTCGAGTCTCACCAATTATTGCCGCTCAGGTTGGGCTTAGTGAGTTTGTAGCGCAATCGCGTCAATCAAAAAACAGTAAGGCTCGGCCCCCTTTTTTCTTCCCAACCTTCGCGACACCTGTATCGGGAGGCAGTTCGTCAATTTGGCTTGGAACGCAAACTACAAGCAAGGCGACGCGGTGCGGCTGGAGTTCACTGGCCCCAATGTGGGCGCGCGGACTACGGGTCGACTGATGGCAGCGGCGACGGCGCAGCTGATGCGCCGTGGCGTTGCTGCGGCGCAGGCAGGCCAGATTACCGGTCTCAACACTAGCATTCGATCGGCTATGGAGCGCCATTTGCCAGTCAAAAGGGATAAAGCCCATTTAGGTGAGTCGTCATAGCTGCCATGGTGTGAAGGTTTGATGCTTTTGCGGCATGGTGCTGTATGCATATGCGGACTAGCTGAGCCAGCATTGAGTATAGGATGCGACGGATTGCGCTGAGGCTCAGGCGCACTGAGTGGTAGGGTGTGGGGACGGGGACGAGGAGATGCGTGGAGGAGAAAGCCACGTCTTCTGCGTGCAAACGTATTGCGATGATAATCCACGGCAATGGCGATGGTGGCGACGGCGGCGGCGGCGGCGGGGATGACCACTGCGACGATGATGGAGACGGCAGTGAGCGCAATGGCGGCATTTAAGGCAATGACGGCGACGTGTTCGCCACCCTCTTGACAGGCCCTCTTTACCCTGCCTTTCTCTCAATTCTTTGCCCCTTTCCTCAACTGCGCATAAATGCCCAGCAGTTTCGCCTACTTGCACCTCTGTAATGTAGTCCTATGTAGCTTTCCCCTCCTTGCCCTAACGTTAGATTTTCCACCGCCAACTCCCAACTCGGCCAACTCCCAACTGCTCAGAAGGTGACAAGGGGACAGAGCTCCTAACCGAGGCCCTTAGGCACATTACGGAACAGCTGATGTCACGGGGCGTGGATCCTAGATCCATAATTGAAAACCACAGCAACGGTACTCCCCCCGGCGGCGGTGGCGCTGCTACAGCCGTCGCGGCAGCAGCTGCCGCCGCCAATGGCGGCGCTGGCGGCAGCAAGACCAGCCTCGGCAGCATCGGTGACAACAGCGCTGACACAGCGGGCCTCAAGCTGCCGTCGCCGCCGCCAGTGGCGGCGGGAGCGATGGTGGGGATGCCGCCGCCAGGTGGCGCAATGGACCTCATACAGCTCCAGCAGCAGCAGCAGCTGCAGCAGCAGCTGCAGCTACAGATGCAAATGCAGCAAGCGCCTCAGTTTCAGCAACTCATGCTTGAAGCAACTCGGGAACACCACCAGCCAACTGGGCCCATGGGCAGCACGGGCGGCCCGCCACTGGTAGACTATGGAGGGTTTTTCAGCCCCACCGGCGAAACTGGGCCGGTTGGTGTTCCGGCTGCCGGGGGGGGGGTGTCGGATATTTTACAAGAGGCCTTTAGGGCCTTTGCAGCCGAGCAGGAAGCAGCTGCCGTTGCTGCCGCCGCCGCCGCCGCCGCCGCGGAAGGCGGCGACGGCAGTGGTGGCGACATGGGTGCCACTGCTACGATGATGGACTTCCAAGCGGCCGCAGCCGCGGCAGCGTCGTCCGTACTTCCCAATGCAGCGACGGCTGCCGTACCGCTTTACCAACGGACGACATGCAGCGTCACGATGATAGACGTGGGCCATGACGAGTCCGAGCTCAGTAGCCCGCACGCTGCCGCCGCCGCCGCGGCGGCGGCTGCCGCCGCAGCCGCGGCCGGCGGGACACTTTTGTCGGAAGGCATGCAGGGCGCGTGCGGTCCTCCGGGATTCCGCTCAGGCCAGTGGATACCGACCGGTCGTAGCATGGTTGGCGGCAAAGCTGCGACACTGCCCTCCTCGTCATCTTCGCTGCAGACGACGGCCAGCGCGGCGGCGGCGGCAGCGGCGGCGGCGGCAGCGGCGCTGCCACATCAACAGCAGCAACAAATGCTGCACCACTCTGCCGCCGCCGGCTGCGCTGCTGGCGGAATGATGTCCTCGTTCGGTGGACCGCCCACTTGCATTAGCCCGCCACCTGGCCCCGAAACCAGCGACAAACGGCCGCTGTCACCGTCGCGATTCGATACTGGAAGCCCTCACCGTCTGAGTAACGCAATGTCCATTCTGCGCAACAGAAGCGCAGACCTAGGGAGCCTGGACATGATCATGGTGCGATGCCTGCGTGGAATGCCGTGCTGTGCTGTGCTGCAGGGTTCGACACTGACCTTCCTGAAACTTGCGGGATCCCCCGTACCTCCCAAATTTTCCTTACGGAGGGGCCCCCGTACCAGGCTCCTGTACTGGCCGAAAACCTTACGGGGCCCCCCGTAACCCCGCAAAACCTTTACGGGGACACTGTCCTTGGCTGAAACGCTGTGGAAAGTGACGCTTTGCATTTTTTTGCCCTGTAAATCGTTATTTTTGTTATTTTCCCGTGAACCATTACACACGGGGACACGGCACACTCAGCGAAAGCCAAGCGCCTTGGCCGCCGCGGCCGCCCATCCCTTCTGCTCCTCTTTCTCGTCCTCCTCATCATCAAAATCCTCATCCACGCACGACTCATCGGTATCTCGTTCTACGTCGGTCTAGTAGTCACTGTCACTAAAAGCCTCATCGTCACTAGCGGGGTATGTTGCTTGTACCAGTACTTCAATCTCTGGGTCAGTCGCAACCTCCTCATTATCATCCGCTCCGTATGGATTCAAATTAATTTTGCCAACGTCAGAAAACAACTTGTGAATAATGCCTGTATAACCCTTACGCGAGTAGATCTCAGCAGCCTAATCAATCAGTGGCTTCGCCCCGGTATCAGCAGCAGGTCCCAACATCCCCACACGAAGTAGTGAATCAAGTGTGTGGCCTTATCCTTTATATGGTCCGTCCTCTCCCCTACAGGGCCCCGTACGGCCTCTTATAAATCCTTAAAATCCTTACGGGAGCCACCGTAACCGGCCTTCGGCCGGTCCGGGGGCGGCCCCGTACGGGGCGCTTCGCGCCCCAAAATCCTTACGGGAGCCACCGAAAAGTCCTACGGGCCCTGACGGGGATACCGAAAAAAGGCCAAAAACTTACGGGCCCCGTACGGGGTGTCGAACACTGGTACATATGTTAATATTCGTGTATGCGGCCGTGTAGCTAAGTGGATACAGAGTGCCCTTCCTAAGGGCAAGGTGACCTTGCCCTTGATCACAGTGTGCTGTGATCCCGTAACGTATGATGTGTGTATGTGTCTGTTACACCTCGGTTGCGTTACCCAGTTAGAGAGGTGTAACGAGTACCCATACAAGCCAGAGGCCCAAGAACCTAAGAGCCGCACAACATGTTAGATACGGGACAAATGGTCGGGGCGTGATGCTGGGTGCAGTAGCGGCGTACCTGCCGGGGTGCTGGCAGAGCTCCTTTCTTTTGCAGAACGGTTATTATAAGATAAAAAAGGCTTGGATCCTAAGCAATCATAGAGCTTCGAAATGGTAAAAATAATGTTGCGAAAAAGGTCTTGCATTGAAGAACGTTTGATCGACGTGCTGAACAGACATGCCGTCCCGCCCCACCCCAATATATCGGCATTTCCGACGCTCCCATGTGCAACAGTTTCCACTTCATCTGATTCGTTTGCATTTTCCACCATAATAGCAGCATCATAGTCCTAGTACATTCTTGTACCCGCTAGCCCGCTTTGATTGTCATATCAGACAGCTTTGCCGTACCTGTCGTACCTGTCGCATCTGCAGAGCAACGACTACTTCATGGACGGCGTCGATCCCTTGCTCAACGACGGACGACAGCCATCCATAGCGGATAAGTTCCTCATGTACATAGACGGGGGCGGGCACCCAGGCATGCAGCCTGGGGGCCTCATCGGGCTTGCCAGCGGCTTTCCGTTGGGGCCCATACCGTCCGGCACAGCCGGCGACGCCGCCGCTGCAGCAGCGGCGGCTACTGCAGGAGGACCGCAGCGCCAGCTACCGGCAGCTGGCCTACACTCCAGCGGTGCCGGCGGCGCTGGCGGTAGCGCCTCCGCCGCCGCCGTTGACGTGTTTCAGAATCCTCACATGCCGCAGGCCGCGGTGGACGGCACATGCGGCGGCGACGCCACGCCTGGAGGGGGAGGCGGCGGCGGCGGCGGCGGTGGCGGCAATTGCCTCATGGGCCAGGACCCGCGGATGATCGTGTACGACATGGACGCTATGATGCGGAGCCAAGCGCCGACGGCATTCGGCGGCGGCGTTGGCGTCACCACCAGCGCTAAGCCCCAGTCATTTTGTCGACCCAGTGATAACACACTCAACACCGGTAACGGCTCACATACCAGGGAGCCTCTCCCCAGCGTCGACGGCGGCGGCTCGCCAGCGGCGCCCTTCGGAAGCAGCTTTGCGTTCGCAATGGCTCAGTACGGTAACTGTCCCGCCGCCGATGGCGGCGGCGACGTGGGCAGCGTGGACGGTCTCGCTAGGATCACCTCCGCGCCGCCGGGCGTCCTAGGAGATGAGTCAGCCTTCTGCCCGCGAATGTCTTCTGCTCACGCCCACGGGCTTTCGATGGCACACGGGAAAGGCATGTCGTACAGCGTGCCGTACAGTCACGGTCAGGGCCATCCGCTCGCCATGAATTCGGCGCCCGCGATTTGGACTGGTTTGGGGGACTCAAACCTGGGCGGCATGGATGTCTATTCGATGGAGCACATGGCAAGTATGCCGGCAATCCGCGGGGGAATAGGGGCGCAGTGTCAGGAGGCTGGTGACGGAAGCTCCCTCCGCTGCCACAGCCTTCGGGGATTTAGCGCCGATGGCGCAGGTGGTTCCTTGGGGGGCGAACATTTACGACACACGGCATTTTTCCCCCACACGTGCGCAAGTCAGCAGCAGCACCACCAGCAGCAGCAGCACCACCACCAGCATTACCAGCAGCAGCATTACCAGCAGCAGCATTACCAGCAGCAGCATTACCAGCAGCAGCATTACCAGCAGCAGCATTACCAGCAGCAGCATTACCAGCAGCATCAGCAACACCAGCTGCAGCCCTTGCAGCATCTGCAGCAGCAGCACCATCAGAAACACCAATTGCAGCAGATGCAGCAATCTCAGCACTCATCGTCATCATCGCAGCAGTTGCACAGCCGCCAGGTGGGTTTTACTTTTACAAAACCCACCAGGGGACATCGAAAACAGTAAAGCCAGGCAAGGGTCAGAACAGCGGCCGCTGGAGTCGTTGCACGAGAGAGGAGACGAAGCAGAACAGTGCGAAGGAGGGCGTGAAGGAGGAAGCTGTATAGCAGCCAACAGCGTTTCGCAAACAAGCAAGGCTTACAGCTGAAGCAGCCCTTTGTGTGTATAAGGAACGAAGGGTTTATAACTAGATGCGTGAGTTTTGCCCCACGTTCATCACCATTAATTTTTGGTTGATAATGGGCAGAAAAAGAAGCAGAGAAAATGAATTCCTGCTACTATACCTGACTGTTGCGCCTGCCGTACTTGCTGGTGCTTGCTTGTTGTGCAGGGAATGCCGGCACCGCCGGGATCCGCTGTGGAACGGCAGCAGCAAGTACGGCAGCTACAGCAGCAACAGCAGCTACAGCTAGAGCAGCTACAGCAAGAGCAGCAACAGCAGCAGCAGCAACAGTTGCAGCAGCAACAGTTGCAGCAACATCAACATCAGCAGCAGCAGCAGCTCTTTGCCCAGCTCTTTCCTGGAGCTCAACAGGCGGTGTGTGGCGGCGGCGGGGGATCTGCGGGAGGTTCATCTATCAGTATCTCCCCCAGCACCATGATGTCGCCCACTGGCAACAGTCCCGTCATGCATTTCATGCCAACGAGCTTTCCACCACAACGAGATGACAGCGGATGCCTCAGCATAGGCCATAAGGCCCACATGCTACCCAGAATCTCCACAGCTGTCGGCCTCCCTCCCCATTTCCAGCCGCCGCCAAGCCCACCATCCGTCGTACGTAACATGCGCGGAGGCTGCGCCGCCGCCAACAGTGTCCGCGCGGGCGGTGGCGCTGCCGCCGCCGCCGCCGCTGGTCAGGCCCCTGCCCGCAGCCCTAGATCGTCGGCGCCGGGAACGCCCCGAAGTCCCCGAGCGCCAGCAACAGGGACGCCACGGAGTCGTACAAAAGCTGGCTGTACGCCGCTATCCGCGCCTTCGCCTGGCGCGGTCAAGGCCCAGCTTGATGAGATGATGCGCGTCGACCCGGTGGCGGCAGCGGCTGCCGCCGCAGGTGGCGGCAGTGGCATGTCTGAGTCCTTAGCCGCAGCAGCGGCAGCAGCGGCGGTGGCAGCTGTTGCGGCAGCACCGGAAGCGGCGCTAGCCGCGGCGGCAGCTGCCGGCCTCATCGTTGCAGAGGACGCCGGTGCGGCCGTCGACAGTCCTGGCGCCAGCGGTGGTGGTAACCTCCGCCGCAGCCGTCGGGAAGCGAGAGGAGCCAGGGGCTCAACCCTGGGAACGGCACGGACTGGTCGAGGAGGTCGCAGCCGGGGTACCGATGACGATGACGAGGACTACGCCACCGATGCTGATGAGGATGCCCTTAGCTCTGATGACGGCGACGATGAGGGCGGCGGAGGTGGCGGCGGGGCCGGCCGTGGCGGCGGCGGCGGCGGGGGCGGCACCACAAGCGGGGAGGGCTACGTCGATGAGGATTCCGTACTTGTCGTAAGGGCTGTACGGGACGGCGTACGGCGCGAGATCACCAAATCCGCCCTGCGGAAGGTGCGCGAGTGCCCCTGGAAGCGGCAGTCTGCGGGAGGTTTACGGGAAAGTTGTGGAAATGCGCGGGAAGGGCGCGGGGAAAACTCACCAAGGGGGTGTGCAACGCCAGTGTATAAATAGGTTGTGCCTCTGTTGCAAAGTTCTTCTTGCCCATGCCGTGCGTGCAAAGGTCCCCGGGGGCCGGTGTAAGTGTATATCCTTTGGAGTAAGGAGCGTACAGGTTCAGATCTTCGAAAAGACGCCGGAAACCCCGGATCCCTTCCCTCTCAGAACCCAGCTCCTTTCCTCCTGGGCAGCTAAAACATCCAGCCTTCAAATGTCGCTCGCCCCTGACCGTGACTTGTTGCTCGACTCGAAGCTTTGATGGAAGGAAGGAAGGAAACCCAATGGCGGTCTCCTGGCATCCGCTCATGCGCTGAATGTCGCGCATTCACCAGTCGAAGCCCGTTGTGAGGAAACCAGCCACCATCTGTAACCATCCGTCACCATCGTTTGTTCGAACACATGCGGCCGCCACCTGCCGCAGCCCAGTCGCCGCCTTCAGCACCGCCCACCTTTAAAAGTTACGGACAATCCCCCACCCCAGGTTTACCATCTGCCGATTAACGAGGCCGCAGCGGCGCTGAACATCGGGGTCACGGTACTGAAAAAGTATTGCCGCAAGTTCCGTGTACCGCGCTGGCCGTATCGGAAGCTGCAGAGCATGGCCAAACTGATCGAGTCGTTCGAGCGTTACAAGAAGAACGCATTTTCGAACGGCGACATAGAGGGCGCGGCAGATTGCCAGGTGGGCACGGGTTTTAGCGAGGTTTTAGAGTTTTAGAGATTTTTCCTTGTGATTTGGGGTTTTAGAACTGGTTTCAGAAAAATTTTACGACTTTATTGGACTACCTAAGAAGTCGAATTACAGGCAGAAATCCACGTATTGTCCACCAACTGTAACCCTCGTATATGTTTGTCCAAACAGAGCACTTAGAAGCATGTTTAAACTTCTTGACAATCCCGCGCTGTTAGGCCTTCCCAGTTTGACCTTGTACTGTCTGTACGACAGGACGTTATTGATCGGCTGTTGAAATTTCGAGAGGAGGTGTACGACAATCCGGACAAAGACATCGACGAGAGCGTCAAGAAGCTGCGGCAGGTGGGTACTTGCATTGCCAACGCGGCGGCCAGCCACGGTCTTCCGAAACCGGAATTGAATCCACCAAGTAAAAATAATGCGCCGGACCAAAAACATCTAACCATTCCGTCACCCGCGTGATTCAACTGAGCATTCAACACACTCTAAGTGTTGGACGTACATTACGGCGTAACGGCTCCCATTAAGCGCCAACCGCAGCCAAAGCCAGGTTTTATTTCAACGACGGAACATTCTCCATTCCAACTTTTAACGTAACCGGGTTTTTCATGTAATGTTTTCTCGTGAATGGCTGTACTTCAAGGCCAACTTCAAGATTGAGTACCGGCAACGCCAAGGTCAAACTCAGGGCGCCCCTCCTTCTACACTGACCAGGAGCTCACTCAATGGCGAGACTCCAGGTATGTATGTGGGGGGGGGGGCCTCTGGCAGCGGGCCAACTGAAGCTAGTTACATAGAGGCAGATGGGATGCAGCAGTGGGGAGAAAGACTCCGCCGCTATGGAGAGTCTGGGGGCCGTAGGGTGCCTTCCAACTCAACTCAACGGTTTACAACTCAGGGGGTGTGAGATTTACCCTAAATTGTCCGGACCCTCAACCTTTAAACCCTAAAACCCGGGAAACCACACGCCGCCGCACAGGAGCTGCGACCGGGGTTGGTGGCGCGCCTAGCAGCCACGATCTTCGACGGGACTTCGAAACTCTTTCGGTGAACGCGGCTTCCGCTGAGGTCACAGAGCCGCCGCCGGCTTAGAGGTCTGTCGGCTGCCCTTGACCCCCGTGTTGCTTGCATGACTGAGCTGTGGTGGGCACCTTTGCGTGCGGCTTATTTAGGCAGCCTTGTTATTTGGGCCCTTTCCTGCTTTGGCCATGTTTTTGTCCGGTTTTGGTCATAGCACAAAAATGCTTGTGCGTTGTGATGTCAACAATTTTCCCTTTGGAGGCAAACGTAAAATGATTACAACGTCGTACACACCGACGTACATCACTTCCTTGTAAGACAGGGACATCGGAGGGCGTGTGTGACACACTGCGCTGGGTTGCTTCGTTGGCTGATCTGCTGCTCGCCTACCGATCTATTGGAGGCTGACTTTCCCAAACTTCGGAAAACCCTTGTGATGACTGAGCAACCACATGTGCTTATGTACATGAGTGCGATGCCCGTGTCTCTGGGCGCGAGGTTGTCGTGGTCTGTGTGTCTGTCTGTGTGTCTGCCTGTCTGTCTGTCTGTATGTATGTATGTTTATGTGTGTGTCTGTGCGTCTGTCTTTTTTGTCCTTGTGCCTGCCTGTCTGTGTGTGTGTGTGTGTGTCTATCTATCTGTCTGTCTATCTACCTGCCTACCCGGCTGGAATGCTGGTTGTGCACACTGCCGTGTGCTGCCTGCGCAGCAAGACGTCTATCAATCCATTATCTTGCCGAAGCAGATGCGGCAATGGGATCTGGGATCGATCGGCCGTGGCCGTGTTGATGATTGACGTGTTGGTGACTTCCGTGTTGGCATCAGCGTTGGTGTTGGTGTGTTGACGGTTGTGGTAACAGCTAGGGAAGAGCGTTCGACAAGCGTTCGCGTTCGCATTAGCGTTCGCGTAATGTTGCTTCAAATCCACCCATCCACCCATCCATCCACCTATCCACCCATCCATCCATCCATCCATCCATCTTGATTTTTTAGTCAGCAGGACTTCAACGCCTCACCAGGAGGCGCGTGGGCCGCTACCACCTATGATGAGGAGATGACGCGGGACGCGACCCTGGCAAGACATGTCAGCAGACTAAGTGCTTGTTCTTTTGTTCTCTTCTTTAGGTTGCGGATGCGTGCTGCGATCTGGATGCCGCTGTCGTGTTACAGTTACGGATCTCCGCAGGCCGCGACGGCTATCGGCTTCATTATCACCACCACCCCGTGTCCAAGCTGAGAGGAAGGAGTTTAGGATTTTTAAGGTTTTAAGGTTTTAAAACCCGCAACACTCCATATCGCCGGAGCGGGGAGCCCATATCATCCGTGGTGGCAAGGCAAGAGGGAAGGAAAGGAACAGAAACTAGCATGCAGGGTGATGCTGCTGGAGGTGTGAGCGGGCGAGAGAGTGTTCGTGCATATGTAGTAAGTGCAGACGTCAATATGTCGATATGCACTCCGAAGTACGCGCGTGCGCATGCATCCCGCACGTGTGTGTGTGTGTGTCTGTCTGTCTGTCTGTCTGTCTGTCTGTGTATCAGTGCACCGTGCACGGGTGCATACAAGTATGTGTGTTCGTTGGTTATTAGCTTGTTGGCCGACCTGACGCGTCTGCCATCGTCCCAAGCATGCGGGCTTGTGCCCGAGCGGGAGCATGCATCTACTTCAGTTTCATTTTGCGGACTTCACTAGCCTGGAGGAGATAAGAGATGAAGCGCAACCGTACCTGAGGCAACCGCACCAAAGGCAAGTGTTTATGGTTTAAAAAGACGTTTGGCAGAGGGGGTAGGAAGAGGAAGAGCGGGAGGAGGAGGAGAAGGAGAGGGACGAGGAGGAGAATGACCTGGGAAAGAGGAGGAGGAGGTGCAGGAAGAAGAGGAGGTGCTGGAGAACACTGGGCTACACAGCGTGCGACTGTTGAGCGTGCAACGTCAACGATGGTGGAGAGCGTCGGAGAGGGATGACACGATGTGGTGCGAAGTGATGTGGAGGAACGCTCGATTTGTGCGTGGCAATGTGCGCAGGATGGCAGTTACCCCTGCGGCTGGGACGGGAAAGGAGGTTCTGCCGTGTTCAGCGCCGTTATCATATTGTTCGACTGGAACAACGCCTTGTGTATGTGGTAGGAAAATCGGGGCCAGGTATGATGGTGTCGTGAAAACCCATTTTCCACTGCTGGATGGTTGGTTAGTTCGTTAATCGTTGTTCCGTTGGATCTTGACAAGGGTTGTTTGATGAGGCTGGGCGGAAGTCATGTCGAATGCCGGTCCCCGGCAAGATCGCTATCCTTCTGTTCATGGGGGAAATGGTGATGCAGGAAGCACTTGAACGACTTCGGGCGTGTTAGATGTACAGCAGTGTACGGTTGTTGCCGTGCAGTGTACGATATAAGGACTCGGTCACGATCTCTCTTCTAGCATACATACAACTCTCGCTTCTCCTTTCTCTCCTAGGGATTAAGCGCAAGTAGTCAGGCGCTGCCCGTGCATCATCTAAATGATGCATGATGTCTTTTCTATTCGATATCTTATGTCTGGAGTTATCTTTTTTCCTTTTTTGTAGCGTAGCACATGCACACACATGGGTTTACTATGCAGACAGATCAATGGGGCTAGGTTTCGCCTTGAGGGGTGAGAGGAACGTGTTTATTTGTCCAAACACACCTCTAGATTCTCACCGCCAGGCACAAGAAGCGCCTGCATCTCCCGAGGGCGCCTTTACGACTCTTCTTTTTCCTTTTTAATACTTTGCGACGAGAATGAGTGGGAAAGATGAAGCAGGCTCCAGAGCTCTCCTCTCCTCCATTTTCCGCGCTAAAATGGACTTCGGTATAGCCCGTTGTGCACCTCCCCGCTTACGTATCGTACGCCTGCGGAGATGATGTAACAGGTCAGTTCACCCGTTGCTCGTTGAGAGGCGCTAAACTTCACATCGCGTGTATGGAAATACGCTTATTGGGTCCGGAATCTCTTTTCTTGACGAAATAAATACACGCGCAACGCTTTCTTTTATGATGCATAATCATGTAGAAGGAGTGCACGGGGTATCTCGACGCGGAGCGAGGTAATGTTGTACGAGCATCCTGAGTGTCATGGCGGTAGTCTCAGGAAAGGGGAGGAGCCGGGTTGGTGGATGCGTTCGTGGATGAAAGGCGCGCACACTTAAGTGTGCTTCCACTCGTCCCTCTCTTATGACGCCTCTCTCTCATGGAATATGCCTGACGATGGTGGTTGGTGATCGAGTTGCTTGCTTCAGCTCTTCTGTGTCTGTGTCGAAAGAGGGCTCAAGATCAGGGTTTCAGCGTCTAACTCACCATGATGCCTGGGAAGCTGGTGGTGATGACGCCAAAACACAGAATAGAATGAGGATATGCAGCTTGTCAGTGAACTGCCTGGGCAACATATCGGCTCGGCCCAGCTCTTCCTCAAGGAGCTCAGTGCAATCGGTCATCATGGTCCTGAAGAACAGATCTTCAATGCGAGGATCTTGGTCAGTCAGTGAGTATCTTAAGTTGTGCTGTGGGCGAAGAGAACTACGACAACGAGGCGCAACCGTCCTGTGTCCGTGATCTGTAGATGGAAAAGCCTCATTCCGTTAGTGCGACCCAAATCGGGTCCTGACACATAAAGGGTAAAAGTTTACCACCGCAATAATCAATCGCTGCGAGCTCGACCCGCATCAGCCTCCAGGGATCATCTAATGAATTCACCACCGTATCCTTCTTGCCCAATACATCATCCGCCACTACCTGGAAATGGATGACATATAATATATCACGATGATGGACAATCCTTATGATAAACCAGCAGGCGGGAGATCTACAGGGCACCTCCGCAGGTTAGGCTCTTCCCTCCCTCGCCCTGCTCCACATGCTTAATCTTTCCACCTCCTCCCAGCCTAATACATGGATGGGGAGGAGGCGAAGAAATGAAGCCCATGGTGCAGGGCGAGATAGGGAAGAGCCTAATACGCGGAGGGGGAGGAGGGGGAGAAATGATCCTGTGGTGCAGGGTGGGTGAGGGAGGGGATTCAATCTTCAAGCTTCAATTATTGCAAGCAGCTGCCGATCGCTGATACCAGCATTCGTGGAAGGTGATTCGACTTTGCGGGGTTGTCGAAGCAAGCATTGACCCGGCAATGTCAGCTATATGGCAGGGATTTGTCACGCATTGTGGGTTGTAGCAGCTATGCGCTCATCGGATTCTCTAAGGCAGGGTATTCCGCGTGGGAGTACGATAGCCGGCGCATCATGCATGGATAGCATACCTACAATCCTGCACGTTACATAGAATGGGGACAAAGTGATACCTGTGATCAGAGGTCGGCAGGAGCTGCGGGTACCTGCGGGTCGTACAGCGGTACCCGCAGCATGTGATACCTGGTTACGTCGTTGTTCATTTAGTTCCCCAGGTTACTTTTAGGCTTAGCAGCTTGTAATATTTATTCCGTGTCCACTGTTTGTTTTGCCTTCCTGAACTCACGTTCGAAGAGCCTTCTAGCTTGTACGCTTGCCATGGGCCTCAGGAGCTCGTCAAAGCTTCTTTTAAGATGTCATGGTGGTCATTCAAAAATGTTGAAGCCTTATATATCATTCCATGCATCAGACATCGATGATCTAACAGTCTTGTTACATAATAGCTAATAGCCTCCTACAGCTGCGCTCGGCTGGAATGGAACTGCCACGGAGGCGAACAAACTCTTATGAAAATCGCCCGGCTGTGGGAAATATTCTAGCTCCTGTCTCTGGCCTTCAAGGTTCCGGTAAGCTCCAACCGCCTTTTTCGATGTGGTGCGCGTGACAGCTGAAACGTAGCATGAGCCAACAGCTGGCGCACTATTAACGACTCCTCAAAGCCTGTTGACCTTATCACAAAACAATTTTCAGCCGAGCTTCGGAAAACACCTTCTGTGCGCGGTGCTGGGACATCAACAGCCTCGCGGCCCCCTTGGGCCACCGAGCTCGATGCCGCCGACGCTCCGCAGTCGCAGCCGCGGCAGCAGCACGCACCATCCGGCAGCTCACCCTCAACATCACGTGCACAACGAGCTAGCGGCCATGCCAACTGGGACTCACATGGCTTCAGCTTTCAGACGCCAGCTCCTATCGCCCCGGCCTTCCGCACCTCCTCACCTAAGCGCCAAGAAGCTTCTGACGGCTCAACCTCATGGGACGCAGTTTCAGGGACCTGGCCAAGCTCCACGCCTGCAATGACGCGGCCGCAATCGGGTGGCAGAGCTAGGCCACCTATGGACCAGCCAGAGGGCTGGGGTCATCAACTACAAGGCCATCACTACACTTCGCAGCAGGCACGGGGCAACGACGATCTGTATGCTCGAATAGGGCACGTAGAAACAGCTGCCGCGGTACCCGGCCGCCGCGGCGCGGCAGCGCCTGCGGCAGGACCGCCGCCGAGGCGAACTACCGGCAGCTGTGATGGAGCCCGGCCGCAGCCAGGTGACTTGAGCTCCGGCGATGGCGGAGGGCTCGCAGCGGCGGCGCGCGGCGGCGGCGCAGCATCAGGACATGCCGCGCGGGTCGGGGCATCGCCCGCCCGCACTACACCTGCAACCACCACCACCGATAGTCGTGCAAATCGTGCAAATGTACGGTCCACATCGACACCAAAGCCACGGGCCGCCGTACCCCCAAAACGGTCAACGTCGATAACCGATAACGTCCGCAGTGATTGGGTGGACGTCGGGCCTGCCGCGGACCGTAAGGCTGGAGGTGGCGGCGGGATCGGCAGGGAGGCAGACGCTGGCGGAGATGATGACCGTGGATCTTGGCTGTTCGCTGGGGATGTGGAGCATCAGAGAAAAAACCCAAATTATGACGCGCAAAGCCGTGACCCAGATCCGGAATCCCGTTCCGCTGCATTGGATCGACGGCGGCTACCTGAACACAAGGCCGCTTCATCCACCGGCCGAACGGCGGTAGAAAATGATGGCGGCAAGGACGGCGGTGTTGACGGTAGCACAACATCGACAGGTGGCCCGCAGCGGCTGCTGCCGGCGGCGGCGGCGGTGCGGTCGCGGCATCCTCGCTCTCCACCACCACTACACGGCACAGCAGACCTGGAGGTCACCTTGTCGCCGCCATCTGTGGCTCCCGCGGCGGCGCTTGTCGCCGGAAGCGGCAGCACTGGTGGGATGTCGCTTGGGCACGGGCCGTCGGCTGGTTTCGGAGCCGCCGGGCGCGGCGGCGGCAGCCACCAGGGAAATTCTTCCCCCTCGCAAGGGGAGTCTACGAGGCTAGCCCAGGTGTGCGGGGCCCGCAAACCATCTCACGTCACTCGATGGGGCTCAAGCCACTGTGTGTCGGTATGTAGCTCTTCTGGACGCATGTTTGGGGGGTTTATTTAAGTTAAGCGAACGTAGTTGAGCCTTGCGCGTTTCGCAATTTTTCACCTCAGCACACTGACTAAGGCAAATACTGGACGAGACCAAATGCGTGTTTTGAATCGATTTAAAATTATCCTTGGAGATCGCGATCCACCCATTGTACGCCTCTATTGCAAAGTATTATATCACGACTTTTCCGGTAAAGAACCGACCGGTGGATGCAGATACCGTGATGAGCCCTCCAGGATACTACACAAAGCCTCCTTCGGGGGTGTTCTGGAAGCTTCCTCGCGGTGGACGTTTTAACCATCCCACCCCCGTAACAGGGCTTTAATCCAGTCCCACACAGCGCCTACTAGTTGAGACCCGCCATGATTATCAGTTTATCGTTCAGTGTCAGGGCTGGGTGAATTGGCAGGTCACTAAGTATGTTACCTTGTTACGAGGTAGCCTTGCCGGGATGTGGCTTGCTTGACGGTATTGGGCAAGCGATGAGATTTTGCTTTAGCCTTCCCAACAGGTCCCATTGCTCATTTGTCGTTCCTGCGGCGCCGCCCCTGCCGCCGCCGCCCCTGCCGCCGCCGCCCCTGCCGCCGCCGCCCCTGCCGCCGCCGCCCCTGCCGCCGCCGCCCCTGCCGCCCCCGCCCCTGCCCCCGCCGCGTCTTTACCTCAATCGTTTTTATCAGGAAGAGAACGCAAGGCTCCGAGATCAGGTGCAGCATCTCGAGCGGCTGCTTGCAGCGGTGACGCCTTCATCATCATTAGCAGCAGCAACAGGAGCAGATGCACGACGTGGCAGGAAGCCGCCACCGACGGGAAGGCCCTCGAGCGCGGCGGGTTTCACGGACGCCTCCTCGCCAAGCATCGCAGCGGCCGCTGCCGGTGGGGTGGTCCTTCAGCAGTACAAAGCGCAGGTACGGCATTGTATCGACACCGGCAATGCTGTTACATTTTTTTTGCCGCCTTCTAATCATGAATTTTTGCTGCTGCTGCTACTGCTGCTGCTACTGCTGCTACCGCTGCTGATACCGCTGAGCTGCATCGCAGGTGATTCAGCTGCAGCGGCAAGTGGCCCTCATGTCTCAGGAGATCGAGGTGAGGGGCCCAATGTATCCGTATATCCGTTTTTTTGCACCGCTGGATGTTGAATGGCGTTAGGGGAGCTCGATGCATACTAGCGCCATCGCACATGGCTAGATACGATACGGAAGCGTGGATGGGCAATGCAGGCTTAGGCCTGGATGGGCGATTTAGATGCCGGGAGGGGGGTTAATGGCGTGCACGCAGCACGCGGCGAGCCTGCACGTGTCGCTAGGGCCCTCGGAACGTCCGGCCACCGTCAAAGTCTGTTCGGGCACCGGCGTTGAAAACGCGCAGCCTCGGAATGCGAAGCAGCCTGTGTGTGAGCTCACCCGGCGCTTTGTAGCGGCTTTGTCCGCGGAGACGGCGACCTGAGGCAGCCCTGCAACGGGTGCTGAATTTCTTTGTGGACCAGCATTGCAAGACCTGCTAGACCTTCTACTAGACTCGATCTGAGCTTGGCCGATAGTCCAAACACCACAACCGCCAAAACCGTGTGGCACTTGCAGAACAAGGCCCGTCTGAGTTTGGAGGTGGAGGGCACCCTTCTGGAAGTGGCATCCAAGCTGGAGGTGAGGCCGAACCCCACCATTACTATTTTACCATTTTACCATTTTAACATTGCCATTACCATTGCCATTACCATAACTCTTATTGCCCCCTTGTCTGGCCGGGGTCAAAAGTTGATCCCATGGGTCTTTAGCTGATTGGGCGAGATCGGGTAACGCTTGGGTGAGAAGGATCCGTGGGTCATTAGCTGGTTCTGATGAACGCGTTTTCAGTCAGCCAGCTGGCTGGCTGACCTAGTGCCTACGGTGCCTGCGGTCTTCCTTGGGGCCGTGTTGGATGGTGCGCCAGGCGCTGTGTCCACACGTACCGCTGCGCGCTTGCGTTGAACTGGGAACCTTCCAGAAGCCCTGCAATGGTTGGCGCGTCGCGGCCACCGGTGGCTTCTTGGCTTTATGCGATCTATGCGATTTATGCTATGTGTGCTATGTATGCGATCTATGCGATTTATGCATCAAGTGGTCTGAAGAGCGATTGCCTTTCTCGTAGCCTGTGTGTGCATCAGCTTCATGTGCTGCTCTGGGTCCGCCGCTTCTCCTGCCCCCAATCAGGGGTGTGCCTCCCACTGGCGCATCGACGCTGTCGTTCCGGCTCAGTGGCTTGCCACAGTAGCTGCCGTTGGGTTTCATGCTGATACTAAAATGCCCATTGCCCATTGCTTGTTTTCTCCTTCTGTTTTCCCTGTCTACATGGCTCCGTGCTGATCGTTGTTTGTTTTCCAGGATCTGGCAGCTGGCAGCAGCAACAGCAGCAGCAGCAGGAGCGGCGGTGGCGTTGGTAGGGTGGCCCCGGCCTCGGGCAGCGACGCTGCGTCGTTGCAACCGGGCGCAGCGGCGGAGGCAGCAGCTGCCGGCTATGGCGAAGGAGGGGACGGAGGCGGAGGCGAGGGCCTCAGCCGGGAACAGCTAATGCAGCTGCATAAGTGGAGTAAGCAGATGCTTGGGCGGCTGCGCAGGTGCGGGGTGCGGGGTGGGCTTTCGGTCGGGCTTAGGTTTGCGCTAGCATCGCGAGCCGAGGACTCGATTTACTCGTGGGTGCTTGCTGTGAAAGGCTGTGAAAGGCAAGGGACGGAGTAGGAGGATTATTTTTACCGATGCCCCGGTTGAAAACGACACTTAATCTGCAAACTTTTGTTCGTATGCTGTATACGTAAGAGAGTGTGTGTGTGTGCGTGCATATGTAAGTGCGATTATGTAGTGCCGAAGGGGAAATGGGTGGACCATATACAGCCTCTAGCAGTCTTGATGCTCCGATGGCCGCTGCTGTTCCCACGTGTGCTTTCCTCGCAGCGAAAAGTCCGAGTCTTCAAAGCTCTTCACCCAACAAGCATACGACAGTGGGGGGTCCCGGGCCGGCGGCCTTTTAGGCGGTCATAGAGCGGCGTCATGGGGCAACCGCAGCGCCGCTGCCGCCGTTGCCGATGGCACCAGCTTCTCCCCTTCGTGGGTCGTGCCCTTCCTCCACGCGGGCGGCAACCGCTTCCTTCAGGCTGGTGGAGGCGGGGGCGGAGGCGGCGCCAGAGGCGACGCAGCAGCGGATGACCTCGCTGGTGCGTCTGGCGGCGGAGGTGGAGGTGGCGGAGGCACAGGTGGTACGAGCGTGGTCGCTATCGCAGGCGGCCAGGCAGCGTTGCTTGCTGACCCGTTGCTAGCACACCGGCTGGAGTTGCAGCTGGCGGCTTTAGCGCCCAAGTTGGCGGCACTATCTGTGCTGCTTAAAACGCAGCTACTGCCGGCCATGCCGTGGCTGGGGTTGGAAGCGGCGGACCGGCTCCAGGTGCGGCGGGCCGTGCCCATCACTGGATGACTGGTATTGTGTGGGAGTTTGGACAAGTTTAAGGAGCTGGAACGGTCAAGACCTGGACGAGCGGCAGCAATGTGTAGGCAAGGAATTAGGCGTCCCCTTTTTTTCTTGCTGCCATCGCAATCACCATCACTACCACCATCACCAACCTTACGTCATCTTCCAACTGCTGAACTAACGACGTTCAACCAACCCGCATCCAATCCGGATCCACGTATCCAACCGCAATCAACCTGAATCCAACCACATTTAACGGCTTCCAACCGCATCAAACCGCGTCAAACCGCAGGCCGAGGTGGGTGAGGCGGCTGAGAGTGTATCCCAGTCCGTGGAGGCCCTGGTGCAGCTGTGCAGCTTGCTTCCGGCGGGGGCGGCTGTGTTCGGGGAGGGACCCGTGGCGCAGGAGCCCAAGCGGAGAGCCGCGGAGTTGGACGCAGGTAATAATGGCCATCGTTATAATGATTAGGGCGCTTGATGGGGCACATCTTCTTCTGCATGCTCCCTCCAGTGCTCTTTAGAAAATCCGTATAAAAATCCGTGTAAAATCTGTATAAAAAACAGTATAAAGACCTGTATAGAAGTAGTATAAAACAGTATAAAGGATCGTATAAAAGCATATAAAAAAACAGGGTAAAAAACAGGGTAAAAAACAGGGAAAAAACCGGGGAAAAAACAGGGTAAAAAAAGGGTAATAAGCAGTGTAAAAATAAATGCTCTCATCCAAGGGTGAACGTATTAGGGTGCCCTAACGAAACTCCGGAAATCCGGAAGGTCAAAAGAACTCGGCCAAGCGGCCCCGCGGTAAGGACTTCTCAGAGAGTCCACTTGCGAACTCCACCTCCCGCATTAGGGCGTCCATATTGACGTCGGGGTGATGTTTATTCTCTAACATCATATCAAGAAATCCGTGCTGTGTTGCAGACTTCACTATTCATAGAGTTCGTCGCTTGCCCACGTGTGGAGCTTTCTCGCTCTACGGATATCCTGTTCATGACCCTTCACGTGCTGATGCTGCAGGTCGTGACAGTTGGTTGTACAGCAGTCCCGAGCTGTTGGACGCTCCGGAACCTTCTTCGCCGTCAGCCAGTGACGATGACGTAATCAGCGTGCCGCGATTACAGGTGTGACGATGTCTTGTGTCTGCTGCTGCTGCAGCTGCAGCTGCAGCTGCAGCAGCGGCGGCGGCGAACGGCAACGAAAGGCTGGTTCTGGTTTTCCTGCCGCCGCTGCTTCCTGCGGGATGCGACCATTGTCCACATGATCTCTCGATTCTCGCTACGCTTTATCCAACCCTGGCTGCTAACTGCCAACTGCCAACCGCCCAGGCAGCCATCGCACCCCTGCTGCGCGACCGCAAGACAGGCAGTAAGGCCCTTGCGGACATCTTGGAGCCCGCTAGGGTCAAATCTCAGGCGAGTTGCATTGACAGGATCGCCAGGTTGACTTCAGGAGCTCAGCTTATCGGGGTGCACTTTTTTCCTGAAGCTCGGAGTTGATCTTTGGCGCCTTCTGCAGGTGGTGCCCGCCTTTAATTTGGGTGTATCATTAATTTTTACCTTTAATTTGGGTGTATTTTCCTGTAGGGCAGGGCTCTGCGTTCATTTCCATGCCATTCCCTCACTCCTGGCCCTTCTCTGGTTTGGTTTCATTTTTCGCAGTCGGCCGCAGCCAAACGGGCGGTACTCGAGACCGAGCTGCGTTTTGCCGCGCGCGCGTCGGCCCTTCACGCTGAACATGTGTCACATCTGATGCTTAGCGTGGGGATGGCGCTGGAGGAATGCCGAGGTAAGAAGACTGGGGCCCCCAACTCGGGTTATCTGTTGCGCGGAGGTTAAGGCCATTATGTTAATTATGCGGTTGTGTTCCCCATTTGAGACGGACTGGCGCAGTAACGGCAAATAATGAGAAAGCAGTTATGCTAGTGGATTGCCGTACTTGTAGTGAGTCAAACCAGTGTTTCTTGGTTAAGTGTTATTCGCTGCGTTTGAGCACATTATTTGCATGATGGCCTCTTATCGTTTTGGGCGTGTGTCTCGTGTACGAAGCGCGGGCATAAACGCACGGCGCTGAAAGCCTGGGATGACCTTTAGGGGCTGGGAGATATAGAAGCAAGAGGGATAGCACTGCTATGTCTGGATAGCAGTAAGCTAGGCTGGGTACTGCGGAGATGATAAAAAGTTAAGCTCTTGTAGTAAGTTTGACTCTTCAGTAGGGAGGAGTAATAACCAAAGGAATAAGTGGGCTTGTAGGGACGTGATAGCTCTCTCGCGACGTGTTTGGCGTGGCTTAAGCGCGCTGGGCAAAACGCCGCTTGGAGCGAGATGAAGCGTGTGGGACATACACAAACGAGGCCAATTATCAAAAGACATATAACAGTCAGACCGGAGGCATGGAGCAAAAAAATAACGAAACCAACACCACTAGCACCAATAACAGCTAGTATCTCACCAGGCTGTAGAGAAAAGGATAACAGCTCGCGGAATGGTAATGGCCGACTGGGAGGTGCTGGCTTGGTGGGGCAGGGAAGGGGGTTGGGCGTGTTGCTTTGCACCAGCTGCTTTCCACCAAAGCGACATTGTTAAGGAGGTTGTCGGGCAAAGCAACATTTCCGCACGTGTCTGGACGTGTTGGTGTTAATTCAACGCGGATTACTTCATGCCGCGTTGCTTTGTGCCATATCAATAGAACTGCGTACATCTAGCACTGGCGTGATGACGCCTCGTGTGGCTTGCTGACATGGAAGCAACTAGTTTACAAGTTTGATGCTTTCCAAGAGTGCAAATTGCCGTGAAGTTATGTATCATAGCTTGCTTTGGTCCTTTCTTGAAACATTAAATTTCTATTCGGTATCGTATACTGAAAAATTTATTCAGTGCTGTATACTGATGAACGACGTTAAGCGAATCCTGTCGTGTTGAATACAGTATTCAGAATACTGGTGTTACAGGTCAGCAGTAAACATCTCACGAATGCGGCGGTTACGCAGCGTTAAGATTATGCCAGATGAAATTTAAATATACAAAATATTAACTTTTGCTTTGGATTGTGCGCAATAAGGGGTTTGTTGAAGGGGTGGAAGTAAGTCAAAGGGTTACACGTCCAAGGGGAACCGGCTACCAGGGGGCATTTCTAGCAGCTAGGAGGCTCGGCTTACAAAACAGTAATCTTGTTCGTTAAAGGCTGTTAAATAATAATGTATGCTTGTTACTTAAAAAGACGGAAAGCATACCGCGTTAGCTAGGTTGCTGCAACCGCCTTGCGGTTGCATAACGTTGGCCTAATGAAACCTTTCGATAAGGGGTCGAACGTAACGTCTGGCAATTGGAGCCGCAACTCAAATTTGTTTGTTAAATTGTTGTAGTTGATTGAGCATTTCGAAGGAAGGGGGCCCAAAAAGGCGCCAAGTTAGCGCGGCCCACCTTTCCGACCCCAGTCCTGAAGTCAAAGAGCCGCCACCGTATGGGCAGGATTAGTTGGAGCGAGCATCCGTGGGGTGCAAATGGCACATCACATCCAGCCTTTGTAACCTTCCCAACCGAAGCGAGCCCCACGCGCCGCAGACGGACCCACACAGCCTCCCGGACTCCAAATCCCCCAACCACCCGCGGTCCGCGCGGCCCGCAACCTTCCCTGCACTCCTAGCCCACCCCGATCCCTCCCCTCCATCGTCTCTTTCAGACGCCTCTCCAGACCCCCCCAACCAAACCCCTTAACTCTGGATATCGCGAGCCAAGGGTTATCATCCTTCACCACCACCCTTTCGAGCATACCGTTACACCGAACACGAACTCCCCCGTCCGTAAGTCTCCAGAAAGTGGCTAAGCGAGGCTAGGCAGACGAAACAAAGCATGCAATAGGCAAGCAAAGGAAGCAACAAAGCCCAATAGCACTGCGCCGTAGGAAGGCGCGCGAGGCCTACCATTCACCCCATCGTGGCTACCCACGACAGCAAACCGCGAAAATCCACACGCAGGCCTTCCCTCCCAGCCTACGCCTACGGACCGCCCCAGTCACCGCGCAGTCGACCAGGTACTGGTGCATTATCAAATGTTTGGCATTTGGACCTCCGTACTTCTGTATTTGCCGCCTTGCATTGGTCCCCATAGCCAAGCGCGAAAGATGCTAATCGTAGCATGAAACAAATCTTTGCATAGGGTAAGAATGCGTGACACCTCCAGATTGATGGCCATCAACCAACTATTGCCGTTAGATGTAGCGGAGCTGCAAGCGTGAACGCGTGTACGCAACGGCGTGGCACGGACAGCCGTTGTGTCATCAAACTCCATACTGCAGTATTCAGCAAGGAGTAGGATCCGGCCTCTGCGGTTGCATGGGTATACAGCAAGTACCATGGTCGGCGTCCGCAGCAGCGCCCTCTACGGCACGTCAACCGCCGCCGCCGCACCTTCCCTTTTCCCCCAAAAGACAAGACATATACGTACCGAAGTCATCAACACGCACGCTTAACCCCGTATATGCCCCGGGGTCCCCAAACCCTGGCTGCAGGCGCCAAGGATGCCGCCGCGATCAAGTCGTACTTCAATGCGGCCGCGGCTGTTCGGCAGGTCTTGGAAGGGGCGGACGCCTTGGAGGTCCACCCCTGTGAAACTTGCCTGAAGGTCTGACGGGCTCCGGGTCTGTTTCGACTTTTCATCATGTCCAATTTGCGGTTGACAGGAGGAAAAGAGGCGACAAGCTGCTGCAACATTTACATGGGGTAGCTGTGGTAGCTGGGCAAAGCAGTCGCCAAGGGGAGATGGAAGCGCTTTCAGAGATGTATCTCATTCGTGATGTATCTCGACATCATTCGTGATGTATCTCAACTGCCGTGGTGAAATATGTCGCTATATTCTACGGCCTCTGGCGCCGATGCCGCATGTTCCATCTTCGCTTTCTCTTGCCAAAAGCACGCGGCAAGCATACCTTCTGCGCCAGCACTGCGGCTGCTTCTGCCGCCGTCTTTACGTTGCTGCGGCTGCTGTTGATATGCTGTTGCGGCTGGTTTTCTTGTCTTGCTGTTGCGTGACGTGCCTGGTGCCGTGTTATGTATGCAGTATGTATTAGTAGGCATGTATTACGCAGCTGGGAAGCTTCCCTTGCTGTTTCCGACGGTGGCACACTAGTATCACGTGTGTCGTCGTGGCGTCTTGCGTTGTGTCTTTCTGGTAACATGCACATCAGCAAACTAGATTGGCATAGTCAGTGGCAGCATGAGCCCAGATCACTAACAGCTGTTACTGGCCCGACCCACATCCCGCAGGCTCTGGTGGACATCATCCGGGTGCACCGGGAAACACTGGGTCGGGTTCCGGAGCTGCTCGTGAATGCGCCCGCGGCGGATGTGGAGGTGAGAAGGAGGAGGAGGAGGAGGAGGAGGAGACGTCTAGCCAGGAGGGATTGATTGACGGGCTAGTGGCGAGGTGTTCCTGGCCGTGTGGCGGCTGTGGTCCGGAAATACGGCTCCACCTCACCGCATCTTGCTGTGTACAGCGATTACGTTGTGGCCCCTGACCATTCATGTGTGCTGCTACAACTGCGGCTGCTGCTGCTGCTGCAGGGCCGACTGCTGAGCAAGGTGGAGGAGCTGCACCAGGGATTCAAGTGGGTGGAAAGGGGATGTTGGGGAGTTGGAACGAAGGCAGTCGGGATGGGGGGGGGGAAGGGGCGGGGTGCGCGCGCCTCATCTGCTCTCCGGCACCATCCCGACTTTCGGGGGCCCTGAATTCCATCCATGGCCAAGCTATGATGTGTGTACGGCCTTACGGGGCTTGAAGTACGATCCCGGTTGAATATGTTGTATAGCTACGTTTCCTAAGCTACAGCCACCAGGTAGGCCAATAAGCTGGGCTGAGGGCTCTGTCTTTGCAGCATTTTGTTTTACAATTTTTCTGCCGATGCAGCTGTAGCTGTAGGTCACACATATAGTTTGCCTGTTTTAGCGGTAGGTCAAGATATCGGCGCTATGTCCTTCCCCTCTTCTGGCATCCGTATCCGGGACGTAGGCCACCGGACGGCAGCCCGGCTTGGAGTCCTGATCTACATCCATACATCCATTCAGTACACGGCTTGTGACGGGGCCGGGTACACCACGCGCGAAACACGGAAAGTCACGAACCCTAACTTGTCGACATATGATTGCTTTTTGATGCGAACTCGCAACTGCTAACCATGCGGTCCGGTGCTTGGGAAGCGCAGGAAGGCTGTCAGTCGGTTAGAGGCACACAAGCGGCGCCAGTTGGACTCTATGGCTGGCGGCAGCGGTGGTGGTGGTGGCGGTGGCGGCGGCAGCGCAGCACGGGAGGGGGACGCGGGCTCTGACTATGACGATGACTTCGAGGACTCTGGCGACGACGAGAGAAGCGGCGGCGGCGGGGAGGCCGGTCGCACTGGGCAGCGGGGCGGCAGCGCCGGCGGCCGGGTGGTTGTATCTGAAGGCTCGGCACCGCCGTCGCGGCAACCGCCGTTGACGTCGTCGTTGTTGTCTGCACAGCAACAACAGCAGCAGCAGCAGCATGCGGCGATGGCAGCGAAGCCGGGTAAGCCTCCGAAACCGCGGCCTGAGTGGCAGGGCTAGCCGGGGAAATAGTTATGATGAGGGGGGAAGGCGCTGTCCGCCTCAAGGCAGCTTGCCGAGGGATGGCTGTCAAGCGGGCGAGAAGGGGAAACGGCTAGGAACGCCGCCGTCTCCTGGCGTCGCACGGCATGCGTCATTAGATAGCACGGCATGCGTTCATGGCCCCCCCCGCTCTTACGGACACCCCCGCACTTGTGCGGAACTTGTAATTTGTAATTAGAAGGGTGCAGCGCTAACGCTCCTCTGGGCCTTTTTGGGATGTTACTGTTGTCGATGTTGTGTGGCACAATGGCGTTATGGCTTCAAATGTGATGTGTTGTGCTTCCGCCGTTCTGGTGGTCAGGTACCTGAGCGCATTATTCCGCTTTATATATTCCGCTTCATGTGACATGGGTGGAGTGGGGGGTGCTATGGCATGGTGTGCCATGGAGAATTGGATTGCTGTCGCTTAAGTAGTGGTCAAGTAGTTTCCGTTAGAGAAGACATCTAGGGTTTTCGTCTGTCTGTCAGGAAGCAGAAATTAAGCGGTTTATAAAGCAGCTTGGTATTCCACGTTGCAGTGCTCGCTGGAAAAATTGCGAAAGGTAAGGGCGTGCGTGTTTTGCATTGGTGTTTCATAACAAACCCCAAACAGTAAATATTACGACACACACGACTGTGTGGCATATGCTATATGCTTTCGTGGGCCGGTAGGGCACCGGTCTGCAGCGAATGTGCGAGCAAGGTCAGACCTTGCTTATTTTGGCTAGGCAGCCCACAATATTGCAGCGAGGGCCCCAACCCGCTTTTCAATCTTCCGTTTTTTTGCTCCCATCCTTCCAACCGCGAGCTTCACAAGCGCTGAACAGTCCCCAGGTGGTCGCAGCCGTTTAAACCTAATGGCCGCGACCGTTTATGACCTCCGGGCAGTTCCCGCTCCAGTTGTAGCGCAGTTGAAGTGAGAGACAAGGGACACGGAGCAGCAGCACAACTAGCGCGGAACGAGAGAAGGTCAATATCAACTTGTTGCTAGACAGTCTTACGCAGCTGAAATATGCAGCCGCTCCGTTATTCAAACACCCATCAAGGTTGCGGTCAACCATTCCGGCAAAAATATAGCACTTATCTTTGGCACTGATCCCAGCGTAGTCCAAGAAGCTGTTCCCCAAACCCCTGATTTCGACAGACACCAGACCTGTCCTCCGCGCATGGAAAATTACTTCTGAAGCCTAGGCAGTTGGTTGACACTCGTCCATCCATCCCGTATGTCCGTCTGAGCCCATATCAACGATACCGCGCAATCGCACACAAGGCCCATCCCAATCGTGCGCCGCGCCGTCATCACCTTCCATGACAACTCCCGCAGGCTGCTCGCACCTCCCGCGTCGACAGACCTAGACCACCCCATCCTAAACCGGCGCTGCTGAGCGAGCGGTGTACTTCGACCCGATGGGGCAACCCTTCCCGCAGACGCGTCCAAATGACCGCGCGTACATAACAATAGAACCACGAGCTCTTTCCAACCGCAACGGCACCTTCCACCTTCCAATCGTACCCTCTTTTTCCACCCTTAGGCGACACGAAAAGACGTCGTTGTGTTGTAACATTGATACCGTAAGACCACACGGCCTAGCCGCAACGAAGTGCAAGAGGAGACTGTGTATGGACATCCACCGGGAACCCGCTCTAAAGCATGTTAACGCAGGGGATATTGCAAAAGCGGCAGGACCCTCCCACGGCTGCCGCTCCCCCAATGCCGCCCGTGATCCCCGAGGAGCTCAGCACCTGGCCCACAGCATCCGTAACAAATCATGGGCCTGTTTTTGCTGCCGCCGCTCACTGGCTTCAAGCCGTCATCCCCTGATAGTCACAACGGTGCAGCGGCACCTGGCACCTCCACCACTCGCACATCGGCAAAGGGCTTTGTACCTAGGTCCCAGGCTTTGCTCCACGCCGGTGCGCACTCCGGCCGGTGCTGTTTCCGTCCACAACATATCCCTAAACTAACCGCTTCCGACCTCGGTTTCCTGCCTCGCCTCCATAACATAACGAAAGGCTGTCAAGCCACTTCTCAGGCAGGGACCGTAACGGCAACTCGTCCCCGGTCATTTGCCGCAGTGCTGCTGAACAGGACAGGCGGCCTGGCAGAAGCTGCCACCATATTCTCCGATGCTGCCCGCACCCTGGCGCTCCCCTGCCGTCGCTCCTCCGCCTCAGGAATACACATTCCCGTAGCCCCTGCTGCCATTATCCACGCCTATGCGTCCAGCGATACCCCAGCTGACAACGAGACCTCCCGCATCCCCCCCGTTAAAACGCGATCCTCCCTTTGCAAGCCCGCTAACTTCCCCAACGACTTCCCCGCGCGGAAGTAAGCTGTCCGTTTTTCAATGCCGCTTTTCCAGTCAAATGTCCACTCCACCTTGTTGCGCCGACTCCACGCTTTCGTATATTATCTATCGCATAAGTTCGACTTGCAGCGAGTAATCCTCCGGGTCCCGGTGCTCTTTGCGCTGCTCCCGAATGCGGTTAAGGCTGGGCTTGAGCGAGAACGTGCGCTTGATCCAGGCGGCCAAGCGCACTGCAATTGATATTCGAGGATTAGGGAATTAGACAGCTGGCAGGCAATAATGATAGCGATCGTGATGATAAATGGTGGCGAGGATGTGCTGGTGTTGATAAGAATATACATGTAGCATGTGGGTGGGTGGGAAGCGGCTTGCATTCGATGCTACAAATGCGAAGGCAACCGAGTATGATCCTCTGTGATACCGTTTGTGTGCCCCCTTGCGTCCATTCTGGATTGGAGACCCCAAGACCCCAGCCGGCGAGTTCCTGGCAGCAGGGGCCCATGGCTGATGAATGCCAACGGCACGCAAGAGGTCAAGCGGAGGTCACGTCGGAAACAACAGCCATCGTACTCACCTTCGGGAGTACGGATCATGGGAAGCAGCAGCTTTATGTTTTTCGCCGGCAGCCAGTCGTACAGGCCGTGGCCCCACATCAGCGTGTTCTCGTCCACGATGCCCGTCACCCAAGCCTCCTTTAAAACGTGCAGCGGGCAAGGTCCGCGCGGCACGTTCATGCGGTCGCGGTAGTACCAAATATTCTTTCGCATAAGCATGCGTTGGTAGTTGATCATCTCGTACTGGTAAGGGCTTAGCACGATTTTGCGTGGTACGGGCCGCAGTGCGCCAGTCCAGGGTGTCGTCGGCGGCGCGTTATCTAACGGATGTGGCTTAGACATATCAAACAGGGTCGCCAATTCCTGCGCCTCAGATAACGCAAGCTCCTGTTTGGTGTCTTGTAGCCGCCGGAGCTCCACAGCACGCGCATCGGCCAGTGCGCTTGGCATGGAGCTTTGAAGAGGTACAGGGAGATCGGCAATTGACGGCAGGATCTCAGCTATCCGGCGCTCCATGTGCTGCTGAAAGTCCACTTGGGTCCTGTCAGCGCCAGTCTCGTCCAATGGTCGCATCACCTTATGCAGGCGAATTTTGCGAGTAACAATTTGTCCAGATTCAGACGGCCCCGCCGCATTTTCCGACATTGCGTTCCTGAAGCGATATTTCACTAGTTTTTAGGTATTCAAGATTATACAGCTCGCCAAAAGCAATATTTAGATAATAATTAAAAAAAGAGATTCTCTCTTGTTGTTGCAGCAACCTGGTCTCGGAGCCTGCGGGCAGTATTCAAAGTGGCAGTACCATTGCCTACCCAACACTCCACTAATGCAATATGTTAATTTTTCTGTTATTTACATGGTGATTTGCAAAACTGCTTTACTTATCAGACCAATCCTTTGTGGAGAGAAGAGTATGTGAGCTAGGTCTGGGGCTCTACTAGGAGGCCTTGTAGTCTGCCAACTTGTGCCACGGTATGTGATCAATCACTTAGCTGGCCCTGTTTGGGGATTGAGTGTAGCAACGCTTAAGGAACTGTAAGCTGCATTGACCAAGCTCACGTGGCTCTTTTTCAGGTTGAAGGAGATGTCCTTTAAGGGTATCTTGTGCGGATGTTTTGCTTTGTCCAGAAGACGTGGCGGTGTTCCGCCTGAGCACCCGCAGGTGCGGGGGGAGTTGCGGGGGGTTGAATTTGCATCCTCAGCAGCGCAAGCAGTGCTGGCTTCTTTCTGTCTCCTGTGTTCTACCCCATCTATTCCACCCCATTATGGATAAGAGGTCGGCGGACGATCAGCGCTTCGAGCTACGTTCAATGGTAGTTAGCAGGGTCCAGGAACGTTACAAAAACTGCACCCTTGTAGAATTGTGGTGAATTATAATGTCAATAAAATAATATGCCTCCTACGCAGACTCGCACGGGGGAGGTTTTCGCAGTATGCAACGCCTCCAAGCGGGAATTGCTGTGGATTGATGACGACGACGGAGTTCTCTGCACACGTCCTACAAAGGAGGGCTCCACAGGAATCATTCCAACTCGACGAACCAGCAGGGGCAGAGTTGACCCTGGTTACCTGTATGGCATGCCAAGCACGTGCGGGCTTTCGTCGAGCCGCGCCCAAGTCGGCGGCGTTGAATACAAGTAAGCACAGGATTAAGATAACCTATCGTGCGTTTTGTTGCGACCGGCTTGCCGGCCGTTACATCCTTGGTCAATCCAGTGTGTCTAGCCTCGCGCTGTCCAACACATTAACCTGTGCTTCAAGGCAATGACTTCTCGGCTGCTGTAACTTGCCTTCACGAGGCCGAACTACAGCATGCTGCAGCTTGGTGGTCCTCTTTACTCCTGCGTTAGCGTTAAGTTTCTTTCATATTCCCGGCCACAATCCTAAACCTCATGCCCACGTACCTGTGCGCCCTTCCCTTGACAGCTCCTTCTTTGTCAACCCGCTTGCTGAGGGCTCTCATGACGGTGGGGAGCCTATTCCCTACGCCGGCGCAGCGCTTGGCACCACCAATGCCCTTCTCGGCATCCTCTGCAAGGGCCACAATAACCCGCTGGCTGACGAGTACAGCGAGTTGTCGTACTCCTCTACACCTGAATCATCGCCGGCGAAGGTCCGTATTCGTGCTTTTGCGCCCCGATACAGCAGCTCTGACTGCAGCTGCGCTCTAGACAGTGGCAAATGCGAGGTCGACTTCGATAGCGGTTGGCCGGCATCCCCAGGAACACCTCTCCTGGGGCCCAATGTCCCTATGACTGACGTCCTTGGCTCCAGCTCTGCCGCCTCCGAAGGTTCGGGAAGCCTGCTTCCGCCGGCACCCTGCGCTCCCCAATCGCGGCAGCCGTATGCTCGGGTTGGAAAACACTTTTCGGAGGGGCCTGGGTCATGCAAAACGAGCCTCGGAGGAGAGGGTTCAGAAGAGTGCGGTCGCGCACTTCAAGGTGTCGATAAAGGCATCAGCGCTGCGGTCGAAGGCGAAAACTTCGCGACGGAGATTGGTAAGGAACCCTCACGCTGTAGAGGCGGATGCAGCGGCGAGAGTATCGACAACGATGCGCTGCGGGAGCAGCACGAGTCAGACATCGAGGAGGCCGACGTGTTGGAGGGCAGCAGTGGAGGGCGCGCTCCTATAGTAGCCGCGGACCATGCTTCTGCTGCATCAGACGTGTGTGCGCCATGCACGCCGCCTCTGGCCGCGCGCGACGGCAGCGGCGGATCCGTTGCCGCTGCTGGTGGCCTGGCCCCCGGGCCCGGCCGGCTGGGCAACAGGCAAGCAATGAGCGACGGTGGTAACGGCGGTGAAAAGCGTCTGTCTGAGGCGCCAAAGCTCCGCTCCGCCACATCAGTGCCGACGGCGCAGCTGCAGGTGCCACAGCGGAACTCTGCGTTTTCCAAGCGAGAACCATCGTGGCGCTGCATGGCAGCGTCGTCGCTTCAGCTTCACTTTACGCCCGAGTCAGCGGTCGTTGATGTGTCCTCTGTGTTGCCCCGGGGAGCAGATGGGGAGGCTCAAATGCTGGTTTCGCTTCCGGAGGCGGCATTGTTGGGCGCTCAAGCGGTGCCCATGGAGGCAGCGCAGCTAGCGCAGGGGGTGCTTCAACAACAGCAGCAGCCATCGAATCTGCTTCAGCAGCTGCGGGACATGCGTCCAGCGGTGCCATATGGGGTAGTGCCGTCAGGCTGTGCGGCGCTGCCCTCTTGGCAGGTGGATGCGCAAGAGGAGAGGACTGTTGCACAGCCCCCAAATGCACCGTGCACCGTGCATGCACCTTTACAGGAAGCCGCACAGCCACCGCCGCCGCCGCAGCAGCAGGCTTCACATCTAGGCCTCCAGCATCGGGGAGGAACAATCGCCAAGCACTGCGCGCAACCCAAGCTAGTGTGTTCCTTGCCGGAGCATTTCCCCTCGTATTTCAACGGGTCCCAGCAGCTGCCTTCGCCTCCGGTGCTCTCGCCGCCGGCGACGGTCACGGTGACAGTGGAGGGTGAGGTGGCTGAAGAAGAAACGGCAATTGCGGAGCCGGAAGTCCTCAAGGACCTCACGGCAACTGGACCGGCAGCCCGCGTGGATCCACCCGCATGGACCCCACGGAAGGTTCTGGGACAGAGCAGTGGCGGCACCTGCATCGGCAGCGTCTCCCCGGGCCTAACCGCGGTCAGCAGCACTGTCGCCACTTCGGCGTCCCTTACCTCACTACCCTCCGCCTTCCTTCCATCTGTTCCAGCGGCCTTGTTCTCCTCGCCCTTCGTGCCCCCGGTGCCCAGTAACCCCGGAAAAGGCGACAAGAGCAGTAGAAGAGGTGGGGATGAAGAACCTGTCGCCACCAACACAACCAAAGCCATCAACGCCAGCGACACCGACCTCACGGCGGCCACGCCCGTGTGCCCCGTCACGCCCATGGCTGCGCAGCCTACCCGGGCCCCGGCCTTCCCTGATCCCGGCTGCTCTATTTCCGCCCTAGCCATGACCCGCATGCTCATTCGCCAGCTGGGGTTGTTGCCTCTAAAGGAGGCTCCGCTGCTGCCAGTGGGAGGAGCGAGCCAGCCGCAGCTGCGGGGCTGCACTACCATGGCAGCCGTCGCCATGCTAGATTTGCCAGGACCGTCGCCTTTTGCCGTTGCTGTGAGCGCCGCGGAAGCGGCGATGCGTTGTACTGAGCCGGCCGATGGCAACAACGAGGCCGCAAACGTCACCGCCACACTTCAACAGCAGAACGGCTCAATTCAATCGGACGACATCATTAGTCTACGTGAGAGTGAGCACGGCCGCGAGGCACCCTCCTTGACGTGCGGTTCGGTCCTGCGGGAGGCCGATGTTGCAACGATGAGGTGCACTAATAAGTCATCTCACGTCGCCGGCAACGCGGCCGCGGCAGCCGCTGCGACCCTAGAGGTTATGGACCTGTGGGCCTTGGACACCGCAGCCTCTGCTGCTGCTGGGGGCAGCGGTGGCTTTAATGACGACATCTTTTCCGTGATGACGACGACCCAGGAAAGCAGTGCCCTGTTTGACGTCGATCGGGGCTCATGTAGCTTGCCTTGTCTGTTGAGTGCTAGGAGCATGCAGGGCTGGCTTGAACCGCAGGGTTGGAAACCGCTGCGTGAAAAGTACTGCGGGGTGCAGCATCAGCAGCCGATGCACCATCACGAGCTGCAGTATGTTGGTGGTGACGGCGGCAGCCAGGTGACAGTGATGTAAGGTATGCTGCGGTGTGCAGGAGTTGCAAGCCACTTGCTTGCAGGAGCGCATCGCGTGGCACCTGTCTGCTTTGAGGGACCTGGGGCTTTCAAGGAAGAAGTTTACAAATGGCGACAGGTTCCATTCAAGGTTCACAAGAGCGCATGTGGGATTTCCTGAGGCCGCAGGGGAGGGAGCTGGGAAGGCAAGGTAGCGGAATATGACTGCTTTCGTGGCACTCTTTATGTGCAGTTAAACGTGTTGCGTGTGTCCCTTTCACATCCCCATCGTCTGGCCTCTGCGGGAAGGACAGAAGGTGGCAGAAATGTCAACGCCGGACGAAAAGGCAGGAAGGTACGGCTCCCGGGTGCTTTGTCTCGCATGGACCTTCAAAAAGGTCTAGGCTGACAGGACTTGTGACTTCTACCTCGGCCTAATCCTTGTCAGCATGCAACGATATATTTTCTATGTTTGCTTATTGTTTTTTGTTTTTGTTGTGCGCGATTCAGCGATCAAGCGTGACGGTTTGGTGATTTCGCACACTCGGTGTGCTCTGATCCTTTACTCCAATTTCCTTCTTGCTTTCAATAAAAGCACCGAGCGGTGCTGGTATTTGGAGGTGTTTGACAATAATGCCCGGGGGGCTGTGAGCTGTGATTATCGGCTGCAGCAATCCTGCAGTAGCGATGCCGCTGGGGCGCATAGCTGAAACGTTTCCGCGCCAAAAAATCGTGGATGCGCACCATGCATCATGGACCGAGTGTTCGGGATGGGGACGTGGCAAGCTTTGCGTTCTCGAGTCTCGAAGCATCTAAGGCGTGAGGCGGTGTACAATGATGAGTGCGTGTGAAAGGAGCAACCCAACGAAACGCAAAAGTTGTTTTTGCGGTGCGAAGGGGCCGTAGCATGGGGACGTCTGCCCTGCTGCAGGGCTTGCATGTGCTGCGCCGCAACGGCGCAACTGGTCGGCCGACTATGTGACTGGTCAACCGACGGCAGCATCAGCAGCACACAAGCATTATTGCTCGCCAGCCGGGTAGGCTTGGAGGGTAAGGCACCAGCCGGTTAGAGGCGGAGGATGAGGCCGTCGGGTAGGCTTCGAGGTGCTCGAAGGAGGCGAGCTCACACATGTGTGCGATTATACCTATGTATGAGTGTTTGCATGTGGTCGGAGAGTTCTGGACGCGGCGCCGTCGTTGGGAACGTGGGCCTTAAAGCTCAAGCCACTTGCTTGGGCTGCTACGGTGAGTGCGCGAGCATAGTGGGAGTTTGGACTGTGGTAAGCGCGCGCGTGTGTGTTTTATCGGACTGAGCCGTGTGAGTTGTGTTTTTTTGCCTTCGTGTGTGTGTGTGTGTGTGTGTGTGTGTGTGTGTGCGCAGTTTCTGTTGCTAGTCGTTGCCGCGCGTCGACGTGAGGTGAGGGTTGTGAGAGGAAACCACTGGATCTGAAGCCAGCCCTACCCGCTGCGAGGCATGGCGAAGAAGGCGAGTATGAGGCTTTTGATGCGACGCCTCCATGCGAAGCGCAGGAACCTGCACATAATGCTTGCGTTTCTGGATTGTTCCTTGAGGAGTTGATGGCTACGGTGGTGAATAAATTGGATATTCGTTGCATTGCTACATAAGCTGGTAAATTGTCTTTTTTACGGAATGAAATGAACCATCAGGGCCAGCATCAGGGGCCAAGTGGGGGCCAAGCAACAGGGGCCAACTTTTTTGGCTGTTTGTTTGCTTTAGTGGACGGCGGTGTGAGGGCCCCTCGGTGCCTTGCGTTTTGGGCCAGTGTGGAGTTTCGTGGCATGGAACCTGAGAGGTTCAGGTCTCCAGCCCACCTTGCAGAGTGTGTGCCAGCCATTGGCGCAAGGTACCGCGAAGCACCGGGAGAGTGTTTCAATGGGAGTGTATAATCAGGGCCTGGGCACAATATGAAAGGAGGACGTTGGATTGCCGAGGGTCCTTTGAGGCCAGGAATCTGCGTGTTGAAACAACCCGCAACAGGCGATCAGCGAAAAAGCGTAAAACTGCGTATGGCACTGCCGGCAAAAATTGCCCACACCATCTAAGGTGGGCCATTTGTTTGCTGAAAGGTCGTTTTTGACCATAATCGTCGTGCTTGCTTAGATCATTTGTAGTACGTAGTGCGCCTTAGCCAGGTGCACTACACTGTCCAGGCAACGGGGGGCTTTCCATTTTAGATAGAAGTTTTGATTAGGACGGCGATGTAGCCGGAACAGCCTGCCGCACTTGCGACGTTTTTTTCTCTCCTGCCTTGTCGTAAGTAGCTAACCGGGGTATACTCGTACTGTAGGGTAGTGGATATGACGCCCTCTTGTGCGATGGACCCCCAAAGGCAAGCAGACATATTGGTTAGTCCAAAATCTAGAATTTTGGGAGATCTAGCCACATACTTTATTCTAGCTGGTGAATGGATGAGTGCTTGTAATCAACTAGTTGTGTAAAGAGGAGAGGGATTTCCCAGCATCGTCGCCGTAGCAAGTGCCGTAGCGGCCTCTATGCAACTATTGCGTTGGGTCGCATCGGTAGGTTGAAGATGTCAGACCCGGGATCGTACATCAACAGCGAGCATCCATTCAAGTAGCACAGCGCCGAGGGGCTCGCCTGTCCGTACGTACAACGCACATCAACGATTTTTATTAGTTGCCATGAATCAGACAACGACATAAGGTCCGGGTCCACGCATATACACGTATTGTAGCAAGCTACATTTACCTTAGAATATCTTTAAGCTATTAAAGCTTAATCACAGTAACGGTACGGTCCCGTATTTACGAACCATACTCGTTAACTGTACGAACTCACTTTCTGGTACGCTATCACAACCTAGCGTACGGCACCAAGACTCCAGGAATGGAGATGGCGGCAGGTGGGCCGCATTTAAGCCACCCAGGTGAAGTGCTTCGGCCAGACACTTAACGTATCACTATACTAGTGTTCAGGGTTCAAGACCTTGCTGTCACCGTTCTCGACGTATGTCTTCGAATCCCGACTTCCCTTGTCTCTTCTCACGCCTAACGCTGGGTCGCCAATCGTGGACGAGACCCTCTACTTCCGCTAAAACAGCTAAGGTAAGAGACGGCTGTTACATTTTGGTATCGACGATCATTTGTTCGGTCCTCGCCTCACATTGCGCCGCAGCAGTTACTCGCCCATTGTCTGAGTCTTAGACTCGACTTTCTGGAAATGGTTCCTAAGCCTATAGCTAAGACTAAGGCTGTTTCTTTGAGCGATGCTAAGCACGTTCCTATTCCGCGACCGAAGTCTAAGACTACGGCGCAAATTCCTGCCGATGCTACAACCGCTTCGGACCCACTTCGCGTGCGAAAATT